TGGATTGAAAAATTGAACAAAACCGATGAGTTTCTCCCACATTCATATGGCAAATCATAGCGTCATAGCATTGGCCCATTGTCCCCACTGATATTAGTCTCATAGGGTTTGCCTCTTGACTCTTGACCCATATCCACACATCCCCATGCTTGCTTAGTTTAAGCCACCATGTCTGCTTGATTCAAACTTCAAAATCCATCAAAATCCCATACGTTGCTGCATCAAATCCCCATGTAATTGCCAAAAACGCAATCAATTTGTTACAAAAATTATGAAAAAAATTGACCAAAGATCCATTTTGTGTTGGAACAGTCACTTCACCTGGACTGGACCGAGGTGAAGGAGCCACTTGGCTTCGCGGCGACGGCGCTGGCGTCGGGCAGCCGCTGATGTCCGGACAGCGCTGGCAGCACGGCGGTGGCTATGGGGACCCTGGTGAACACTGAAATAATGCGCGGTAAACAGCTGTTTATCCCATATGTGCCACTGATACACTGATATTTATCAATATTTATCTAGATTTAGGAGTCTTTCTCAAAACACGTGAGATACACTATATACACGAAGTTCAGAAGCAGAAACCCAGGAACGGCAAAATTACCCACAAAGACAGGGAATGTACAGTAATTAGATATAATTATATATATATAGCAATCAGCTGTTGTTGGTTCCCCCTTTGAAAACATGAATCAGGCGGAGAAATCAAGGCAGGGTGTCACAGCGGCGCGGCCTTTTGTGGCTTGTACTCCACGCCGCCATAGCGGTAAACTGAGAAGCGCAAGCCTTCATGTCTACGGCAATGTATTTGATGATAAATCAAGAAACAGCTTGGTAAACCACCCACTTACTGAAAGCATCTCAATCATTCGGTTGTGTCTAATATCAAGAAACATTTCAGACACCAGAAACCAAACAACTCTCAGGATTCGACGATCTCCTCCCTCAGTCACGGGAATCATACCTGCAGTTTTCGACTACAGTCCACAGGTCTGCGGACAGGTCATGCTATGCTAGACTGAATGTGAAGCTTGCCCTACAGGTAGATAAACTGGAACCAAGTTTCTTGAAAGAGAACCCTGCACTCCAAAGTTTTACAAAAGCTTCTTGCAGGGAAAGCATCCGTGAGTTTGGAAATTGTGACCTTCCGAAATATGTTTTGCAGTTTGCAGTTCCTCTAGACTCTAACACTGCACAGCTATGAACCGCTTTTAATTTTACGGCCTGGATTTTTGGTCCTTGCACCAGCGCGCTGAGGATCTGCGCGAGCCTCCTGAGCAGTGCTGAGATGACCCGGCGCCAACTTCGAAACCCACCAACTGATCCTACTGAATTGAGATTGGCATTCGGCCCTCCAATTTTGGCGCAATCATCTTGAGCTCTATCTACTCAACTCCATGACTTCATGGACTGCCTTCGGATTTGTGTGTCCAAGACCCTACGGATGGGAGGTGAAGGATGGAAAGTGTGGCCCACAGCTCAAATCGGTCGGATTGGATATGACTGGTCAAAATTCTGTCTGAAATGACTGGACAAGCAAGCCGATTGAGTCATCCCCCTATCAATGCTAAGAACAGAGAGACGTAAGCAAGTGCTGCCAAGTTTCCAATACCACCGCTACAGGTACACAATCCCAAAGATCATCCCACCACCCGCCCTGAACCCCGACTCCTGCAGGTTGGTCATCGCTTTGGACATCGTGCGCGCGAAGGGATTCATGGGGTCGGTGAACGACTGCAACTGGCATCTGGTGGATTGCAACCATTGTATATAAACCATATTTCACCGTTGTATCATAACATATTCTAACAGGTCATAAATACCATAAATTCATAAGGAATGTGAGAAAATCATGTTCACCATCATGATTTTCCATCATTTCTCCATCATTTCTCCATCATTTCTCCATCATTTACCACCTCTTCTCCCCAGTGCCCCAGGGCCAGGAACTCCGCCGGTGCGGCGCCAGGTTTCCGTCCAGAGCGTGGCGACAGCATGGCGCCGCCTCGGTGTGATGAGGATTTCTGAGGTCAAAGAGGAAGATCTATGGATATTTATAGTTAGATCGTGTTGGATCATGTATCTATTAGCTCTATATTACATTATATTACTATATTGTATATCTGTAGTATTCTATAGTTCGATGATGATGATATATTGTCCGAATCTTTTGGGAGGGTACTTTGGAAAGAAATTTGACGTAAAAGGTAGATGCGTTTTGAGCCCACAGGGTTGGCTCAGGAATAGAAGTACGGGCCCACGACTGATTGAAAGCTTCACACATTTGATGGTATTCATATGGGTGTGTCTGGAAACAGGGTCAAAATCCCATGCTGGTTTAAAATCATGTTCCCTAGAAAATAGCCACTTTGGGGTATCCAGTATACCTGTATACCTCATGTTCAAACGAAACCTCCTTTATTCATGGTTTTTTGTACCGAACCATGAAATTGAAGGGGGTCATGTTGAGCACTTGCCGGATAGTCCGACCAATTCAAACTTGTAACGAGGGGTCTGGTTTCAGGGAGACCCTGATAATTTCGAAACTAGTTGTTTGACCAATGCCCAAATGAGACAAAGCTAAACTTAGTCTTTCTGTGCGACTTGTTTGACGATTGTCTTTGTTGCAGAAGTGCAATAAGATTTTACGCTGTAGGGTTTGTATAAATGTGGAAGCTTGAGGTTTGGGCTACATATGTTGGGGTCATGAGTATCTGCTCCAATCATATGGCCCAACACCGTGGGTTTCACGCAAACAGCTATTGGGGATCTTCCTTTTATGACAACCCCCATATGGTGGCGAAGGTGCCACGTCGCTCTTGACGTCGGAAAGGCGATGCCGGCTGGCCTTGACACCAGGACCCACTGTTTGTCTGAAAATGGGAAATATCCCCTTTAATGGCTATAAAAATAGGGAACATGATGTTTCAGTACCCAAAGTGGCCTTTCGAGCCTTAAACTGTCAGACATCGGCCTGAAATATACGTGTTTCGTTCATGCTTCACTCCACACTTTAGGATAAACCACTGGATGTGGTAAAATTCAGACAAATCCATACATGGTATGAAATGGTCTATTCTTGTTGGCAATCCTGCAGACGTAATTAGGGGCATGGAAGCGGTGATTGTTGTAAGTTCTGCAGCTTGAGACCGAGCTGGTAGGGGGAGGTCTTCCTTGTCGTGAGTTCGTCCCTTTCCAAAGTGAAAGAACCAAAGCATGTTTTAGGTGCCGGGCATCTGAGCCGGCCCCCGCTGTTGTTACTTTTTCACATTACACTAAAAACAACATTATCATAGACGAGGGGTGTGGGGGGGGTGGGGGGGGTGGGGTGGGGATAATAGCGTGATTTGCTGTACGTTCTCATGCACTTGCACACATACGTCATGCTACGCCGCTGTACGTTCTCATGCACTTGCACACATACGTCATGCTACGCTGCTGTACGTTCTCATGCACTTGCACACATACGTCATGCTACGCTGCTGTACGTTCTCATGCACTTGCACACATACGTCATGCTACGCTGCTGTACGTTCTCATGCACTTGCACACATACGTCATGCTACGCTGCTGTACTTTCTCATGCACTTGCACACATACGTCATGCCACGCTGCTGTACGTTCTCACGCACTTGCACACATACGTCATGCTACGCCGCTGTACGTTCTCATGCACTTGCACACATACGTCATGCTACGCCGCTGTACGTTCTGATGCACTTGCACACATACGTCATGCTACGCTGCTGTACGTTCTCACGCACTTGCACACATACGTCATGCTACGCTGCTGTACGTTCTCATGCACTTGCAGATCGTAGGGCGGGTGTTAGGTGGATGGTTATGGATATGTAAATGATGATGACGATGATGATGATGATGATGATGGTGATGGTGATGGTGATGGTGATGGTGATGGTGATGATGATGGTGGTGATGATGATGATGATGATCATGATCATGATCATGATCATGATCATGATCATGATGATGATGATGATGATGATGAAATTGCTCCTGATGCTAAGGTTTCGTTTTTCAGCGTTTTGTGGTCCCCCCTGTAAAATGTTTGAAAAGTGACAACAGCGGGGGCCGGCTCAGGTGCCCGGCACCATGTTTTAGATCATATTTGCAACGAATTCTCAAAGTGTCATGGCTCTCTCCATCCCATCCAGGGCCAGCTCCTGTTAGCTAAGCTGTCGGCAGGTAATCACGTGACTCCACCCCCCAGTGCGCTTGGGCCAAGAAATACGCGGCTCTAGTGGTCAAATGGTCAAAATGCACCCTTAGATATTGCCACTTGTTGCCAGGTATTGCCACCTTCATTGGATCTGGCAATGCGTGTCATCGAAACGAAACATCTCAGAGTCACCGGGTATCAGCCACATGCTGGTTTCTTGAAGCTACAAAATTCCTGCCTAGAAGTGCGTAGATATCGATAAATGGTGCTTCCGATAAAGAGGCCTTGCTATTCAATTCGCTGTCTGATGCCACATCCGTCAAGGCTTTTGAGCTGGTGTCTGCGCGTCAGCTGCATCTACCAAGATGGCTACAAGAGTTGCTGAAAATGCCATCCAAAAGCTGTAGACATGTGAGCCATACATATCTCCCTGGTCTATGATTTCGAGTGGTTTTCATCGTTGCCTATCTTTTGTGTACATACTGTGTGCGTATTGATATGTATTACATATATATATATGTGTATATATATACACATATGTGTATATGTATTATATATATATAGAGAGAGAGAGAATAATGTACATACATACTATACATATGATATCATATGATCATATTTATGTATGCTCATTGTATCAGGCAGTTAATGATAGACTGCATTGGAGATGCACTGCTTGCTGTCTTGCCGTTGATCTGCTTCCACATGTGCGCATGTCCCAAAAGTGAGGTCCCTCTACCAATTGTGTTGCCCTACCAAAACTCACAATTTTGCCACAAATTTGGGTTTGGTCCATGTTATTCCAGTTTGCTGTCATTGAATTGCAGGGGGATCTGAGTTTGGGACAAACACACGGAGAATTGGCTTTACTCTGACCACGCAGATTGCTGCTCCGACTCTCACCCGATGGATCGCTCTTCAAGCTCGTCGTCATCATCGTCATCGTACCTGAAAAACGGATGTGGATCCTAAAATTGATGGCAAACCTCAGATTCTGGGTGTACTTTCCATCCAATCCTGGAATCTTGCGGGCTCGCGCATTTGACCCATACTTGCTGCCACAATGGAGCAGCAACTGCAGCAACTGTCAAAAAAGTCCGCGCACTCATCGTCGTATTCATCTTCATCTTCGTCCTCCAGGGTCCGAAAAGGTGAAGAAAAGGAGTTTGGTGAAGAAAAAGAGGCCCTTCCCAATCACGCTGATCATGAAAAGAACTACATCGTCCCACTGAAATACTAATCTTGGTCTCTAACTTCAAAATTCACCCAATTCACATCCTTTTGTATCCCTTTGCATATTTGAAAGATTTTGAAAGTTTCGGAGCTGGGATGCTCCAAAAATCTCCGCCTCGGGATGGATCAAAGACTGACTCCGACCGCTCCGCTCCTGCGGCTTGCCGTAGATGAAGTCAATGGTACCCATCTTGATGCCGCGCCTCGACCCAAACGGAGCCATGCTTCGCAAGTGGGACCCAATGTGGAGGTTTCCTAAAATGGATCCCGAAATCATCCATGTTTATCGGATTTTCCATTATTAGCCAGCCATTTTAAGGTCTCCCCATTTAAGGAAACCTCCATATGGGGGTTGTCCAAAATACCTTTTCCCGGACAGCCCTCAATCGCTCAGCCAATCGCGTAGCAACCGCGGTACCACAGTGAGCAATCGCGGAAGGGTTTGTTCTTCGTTGATCAGATCATATACATAAAATATAAGTTATGTATTATATAATGAGGATCCATGCGTGAACGCATTCGATTTCAAATTTGGGAACAAAATAAGCTCGCGCGGTCCGGAAACGGTCCGGAAAACTCACAGTAGTACCAGCAGCAGTAGTACTAGTAGTACTAGTAGTACTAGTAGTACTAGTAGTACGTAGTAGTCGTAGTAGTAGTAGTAGTAGTAGTAGTAGTAGTAGTAGTAGGAGGGGTAAGAGTAGGAGTAGGAGTAGGAATAGGAGAAGGAGTTCTAGTAGCAGGGCAAGGGAAGAAAGGGAGAGGGAGGGAAAGAGAGAAAGAGAGAGAGAGAGGGAGGGAGGGGGAAACAGATGGTTGCGTTTGACCGGTTTCTGACGGGTTTCTGACTGGTTTCTGACTCGTTTCTGACCCTTCAGCGGAACTCGTGTCAATTGGATTTAAAAGCAAGAGCAGAAATTCCTAGGTGTACTAGTGGTAGTGGTGGTGCAGTAGCAGCGGGTGGTGGTAGTACTAAGAGTAGTAGCAAATCTAGTAGTGGGAGTAAGGATCCATGCGTGAACGCATTTGATTTCAAATTTGGAAGCAAAATAAGCTTGCGCGGTCCGGAAACGGTCCGGAAAACTCACAGTAGTACCAGCAGGACTAGCAGTAGCAGTAGCACTAGCAGTAGTGGTAGTGGAAATTGCAATAGGAGTAGGCGTAGGAGTTCTGATGGGAGGGTGAGGGAATAGGCAAGGGAGAGAGAGAGAGAGAGATTGCGTTTGGCCGGTTTCTGACGGGTTTCTGACTGGTTTCTGACTGGTTTCTGTTCGTTTCTGACCCTTCACACGAGTGCAATTGGATTTAAAAGCAAGAGCAGAAATTCCTAGGTGTACTAGTGGTAGTGGTGGTAGTGGTGGTGCAGGGTGGTGCAGTAGCAGCGGGTGTGGTAGTGCTGGGGGTAGTAGCAAATCTAGTAATGAGAGTAAGGATCCATGCGTGAACACATTCGATTTCAAATTTGGGAACAAAATAAGCTTGTGCGGTCCGGAAACGGTCCGGAAAACTCACAGTGCACTAGCAGTAGCAGTAGCACTAGCAGTAGTGGTAGTGGAAATTGGAATAGGAGTAGGCGTAGGAGTTCTGGTAGGAGGGTGAGGGAATAGGCAAGGGAGAGAGAGAGAGAGGTTGCGTTTGGAGTAGGAGTAGGAGTAGGAGTAGAAGTAGGAGTAGGAGTAGGAGTAGGTAGTAGTAGGAGTAGTAGTAGTAGTAGCAGTAGTAGCAGTAGTAGTAGCAGTAGTAGTAGTAGCAGGAGTAGTAGTAGTAGTAGTATATAGTAGCAATGATAAGAGCTGAGGTGGATGGATGGATGGATGGATGGATGCTAGGCAAGTGCTGCCTTTTTGGTGTTTCTGACCTGTTTCTGACCTGTTTCTGACCTGTTTTCAATTGGAGCTAGCTTGAATGTCCTTCTGACCTAAAAACATGTCAATTATTGGCATGGTTCTGGTCTCGAAAGTAGTAGTAGTAGTAGTAGTAGTCGTAGTAGTCGTAGTAGTCGTAGTAGTAGTCGTCGTCGTAGTAGTCGTCGTAGTAGTCGTCGTAGTAGTAGTAGTAGTAGTAATAGTAGTAATAGTAGTAATAGTAGTAATAGTAGTAATAGTAGTAATAGTAGTAATAGTAGTAATAGTAGTAATAGTAGTAATAGTAGTAATAGTAGTAATAGTAGTAAGTAGCAATGATAAGAGCTGAGGTGGATGGATGGATGGATGGATGGATGGATGGATGCTAGGCAAGTGCTGCCTTTTTGGTGTTTCTGACCTGTTTCTGACCTGTTTCTGACCTTTCCCGGAATCTTCTTCAACTTCAAAAAAATCAGCACGGGCAGTCAAACTAGGAACAATTTTAGTGATCGTCAAAGTAATATCATTACTAGTGCCCCAAATACTAGTACTAGTGCTACTAGTAGTAGTAGTAGTAGTAGTAGTAGTAGTAGAGTAGTAGGAGGAGGAGGAGTAGTAGAAGTAGTAATAGTAGTAATAGTAATAGTAGAAGTAGCAATGATAAGAGCTGAGGTGGATGGATGGATGGATGGATGGATGGATGGGATGCTAGGCAAGTGCTGCCTTTTTGGTGTTTCTGACCTGTTTCTGACCTGTTTCTGACCTGTTTTCAATTGGAGCTAGCTTGAATGTCCTTCTGACCTGAAAACATCTGCGCGGATTCCGCGCGCGCGGAATCCGCGCGGCCATGTCAATTATTGGCATGGTTCTGGTCTCGAAAGTAGTAGTAGTAGTAGTAATAGTAGTAGTAGTAGTAATAGGGTGGTAGCCGTATAACCAATCGCCAACCAATCGCTCAGCCTATCGCGATGCAGGTTTTAGCAATCGCGCAAAGCAAAGTAAACGCATCAATTCATAAATTTGTGACCTGCTTTTACGGACGGCTCCCATATGAAAGGCAGAAAATCTGCAGATCAGGTCAACTCTCGTGGACGCCAAGCCACCCCAGTGCCAAAGCCCTCTTCGCTTGTAGCTCACCACGGCGATACCAACGCACCTCCGGTTGGAAGATCTGATTTTGAGTGATTTTCTGTCTTTTGCTGGGCGTCCAAAATCAGGGTACCCCAAAATCTAGCGACTATCATCATTCTCCCAATCAAAAAATCACCATTTTGGGGCATACTCCACTCGTCTATGGCGGATGGCCAGTCTATGGAATCCGTTGTGGGAATCCTCTGCGAAACGACTTTCTCTGAATCGAGCAAGGTGATACACTCACCTGGCAAACTGAGTTGAGTTTCTCTCTCTCAGTGATAGGAGAGAGGTCCATATTAAGAACGGATACGCAGGACCCAACCCGCGCCAGGATGATCAAATCGCCGGCCTTGTCTCTGTGTGTCCTCCAATGTGCTCTCCTGAGGGTGCAAATCCACTGCCCCAGAACTGGAAATCATGGCGTTCTCACACAAATCCTGGGTTGGGTGCGTCCGAAACTGGTATATACTCCCCATTTTTTGGTCATTTGATGGCACTTGAGAGCAGGCGGAGGCGGACGAAAGGTAGTGTAGTGGGAGAGGAGTGGTGTCAAAATGCTGCGCCCCTAAGATGATACACCAAAAACGTTTTGCGCAGTCTAAGATGATTTTATCCAGAGCATGACTGCATGATACGGTGTCTTGTGCAGCGTGAAATGATGCACGAAAAGGGGTTTATTTAAAACCCTTTTTTAAGACCCCTTGCAGCAACTGTTATTGAGGCTGAAGCAAACCAATTGTGCTGGACTACAGGGACATCTCCCTCATGGAGAGTGTGCCTCTACTGTGGAGAACCGTGACCGCGTCACCTGTGGAAATTGAACCCATGACCATTTTAAGGGGGGGGCCCTTATAATTGATATCTAATACATAACGTCGAGAATTCTACGTTTTCCACGGGCTGGCCCCCCAATACCCCCTATGATTGTGCTGAAGCACGGAGAACTCAGGTAGCTGACGCTACCTTTCGTGATTTGAATAGGGAAAATGATGATTGATCATGATGATCATATTGTTCAGTGGATCTGGGTATACAGTACCCTGTTTTCCGTCAAACTCAGATGGTCTGATTACTCAAAATGACAAAACAATCTGGAGGTCCCAAGGTGATTCAGGGTTTAACCTGAGCTCCCTGCTTGCCCTTGGGCGATGCTGCACGCATGGCTACATCTCGCGCAACGGCACCTGCTGCCTAGCAGGACAAGACAGGTAAGGATCAAAGAATCAATGATGACGAGAAATGAGGATGAGAGTGAGAACGAATATTCTCGTTAGTACTATTATGGTTATCATATGATTTTCAGTGTTGTTATTACTATGTTTATTGGGATGATTATAACTTCAACTATCAGCAGGGTTGCTCCAACCCAGGTGGTCACAGCATCTATCCAAGGTGCCACCACCAACAACAAAGTGCTGCCGCTGAAGCCAAACTGAGAGTCCTGGAGCCAGGTTCAGCTTTAATCGCCATGAAATGGGAATAGGGTCAAAACCTGATTGGTACCCTTGTTTTCTCATTGAAGGAGCTGATGTTCATGTATGTTTCCGATGCTCATTCAGAAATTCACGTGGCAAAAATGAGGTTTGATTCATCGCCATTTTCATGGCCTACTCTCTAGTGTCCTGAGGGAGACTCATGGTTTGAATACCACTCATGTCGGACATCAGCGGATACTGTTAGGATGCTGAGTATGTAAGCCACCTTCAGCCCCCGGACACTGGCCTCTGATCGTGCAGCCGCTGCAACCTTTGCAACAAGGATCAGGGGAGATTGTCGTGTGTAACTATGCAAGGAATCTACATCTACAGTATATGGAATTACTGAATTCTCTCAAACTCTTGAAACTCAGGGTTTAAAGCCTCGCTTCACCCATAGAATCCTTGAGACAAACCATAAAATTTATGGATATACATATATACATACAATACATATACATCCATATACATACAATACATACACATCCATATACATTTATACATATATATATATACATATATATATACATATATATATATACATCTACATCTGCATCTACATTCTAAGATACATCTACATCTACATATACATATACATAAATATGTTATGTGTATATATATATATACATGCATGTTGTATTAGATGTCTTAACATACATAATGTAATATAATATATATATAATATAATATAATATAATATACATATATATAATAATGTGTACATATATATATATGTTATGTATATATATATATATGTGTGTGTTATGTATATATATACACACGTCACATGTATGTGTCTATATGTATGTATATATATACGTATATATATGTTGTATATTGTATATTATATATTACATTTGCATTACATCATTACATTACACTACACTACATTACATTACATTACATTATATTATACTACATTATATTTTACTACATTTTATTATACTACATTACACTGCATTATATCATACATATATATATATACACATATACATATTAATGAGATATTCTATACATCATGTGTACATATGTATATGTATATATATATATGTATATATTCAATCATATATATAATATATATATAGGTACATATTATATGCGTGTATATACAAACATACGTGCAAAAGAGATACTAGTACGAACTATAGAACCATTTGTATAGGATTTCCGATTGCTCATGGCAACTCCTTTGTCTCGCCTCAGGGGCATCACCTTGTGCTACGATTGGCCTGTGACACTGAAGAGACTTGGGAGAGGAACGCTAAAGGTGACGAACACTGACGAAAGATTTTGGATTTGGGCGATTTTGACTATTCAACGGAAATTTTAGCAAACCAAAGAATTGGTTATGATTTCTATACGGGCTTGAAAACGCGACAAATCTGGAACTTTCCAGCGCGTTCTGCTGCAGCTTGGGCAGCAGCGAATTTTGTTTTCTGCGGTTTTCGCTTCCTGGAAATTTCTGCCTGTTGAATGACGCCTACACATCCGTGCAACCATTCATGTATGAGACAACATGTTCCCCGCCACATCCGCCTGGGAGCCTTCTGATATCCAGCACGAGGGAGGAGAAAAGCACCTCAGTTCTAGACGTTTTGTCGTCCCTGCCATCGGGATCTCAAGAGTTTTGGGGTTCACGTCATGGTTTAAAGCTTCACATCATGATCGCAGCGATCTATATAAAGAAAGCAGTACATAATCTGTCTGGGCACCCTGGAGATCGCATGCCGTGTAGAAGTGTGAGATGGGAGTTGAGTTGAATACGTGCTGCATGTTCGAACCCACTTGTTTATTCAACACAAAGTTCTTGCGGTGCTATTCTGATGGAAATTCCTGCCTTTGGGTTCACTTTGAGGCTGCCACGAGCAGGGGCCAGCACCTGACCATCACGAGGCATACAGAGTTACGGAGCGCTGAGAAAGGTCCGAGCCGGGTTTGTTTTGAAAGCTGTGTCTGAATTATATTGACATTAAAGACATGGGGGCATAGACTTTGTTACTCTGTAAGCCCAAAAGGGATTAGTGGCCGTTTGCTCTCTTTGCTGGTGTTGCCCGTCAGTCATGGTGCGTAAGGATTTCGTAAAAATCATTCACAGAAAAAATGTCCCAAGCAAGCGACCATCAGCGCGGCCGCCAGCATCAAGACCACCTGGCAATCATAGCACACGAAGGGGATACCTAGGTGGTCCTGACCGCCCTGACCCAATTCGTCTGAGGAACTGGATCGCAGCAGAAATCCGCACGAGAGAGGAAGTTCTGTACCACCCAGAGGCAGTGTATTTTAGTCCAGTTGTTTTGGTGGGTCTTGGGTGTTACATCAATTTTCATCACCTGTACCCCAAACCTGTAGCCTAAAGGTACGTATCCTTCTGGCACAGTCCCTAGGTTCCACATTCTTCATCCATATACCCTATGGGTCACAGGATGATCCCACACAAAATGCCTCGGAAATGCGAAGTGGAATCATTTACATACTATGGGTTGCCCACACACATGCAACCGACGGCTGGTCGGATGAATATGCTTGAAGTATTAGGATGTGTTACGTTGATGAAAGAAGCAGAGCAACTAGGCTTCCTGATACCAAACCACCAAAGCCGTCTCCAATCTTTGCCTGGCTCATGAGCCGAGTGCCTGCCATTCCTGGCCTGGTCAACAATCCAGTGCTGCACAATGAAACCGCCACCCAGTTTTGATATGTTTTGATTGGATTGTATCGTCAATTACTCTGCGCTGAACTAACTCAAATATGCGAAGAGTTGCAAAGTCCGCGATTTCCCTGAAAATGGATCTATGAATGGTGGATGTTCCATAATCATCCATAATCTACTGCGATATCTCCCCATATTTGCCGGTAATCTTCTCATGTTTTGGCTCCCGCACTGGCCCCAAGCTGATCTGCCCAGGCTGGGGTTGGTCGCTAAACACCCGACCACTGAGCCAAACATGGCGATCCCAAATCACTATGTTGGGGATAACCCTCCACTGCAACTAGTCAGGGTTTATTAAATCCTGGGTTCAAATCTGCTTGAATTCATTTGATGCGATTTCAATTGATGCAAAACAGTTGAATCCATATACTTAGATCTAATCGGCCTTCCAAGCTTGGATTTCACTGTTGCAGTTTTAATTAAAACCCCACAAGTTTGTGATCAGCAAAGGATTTCCTTTGAGTCCCGTGTAGACTAATCCAACGAGTCTGCTGGTATAAATGCAAGGATAAGGGCGAAACAATTGCACCTACCACACATTCCTGATGAATGGAGACAAAATCAAACAAAATCATGCCACCATATGCCACCAATATTCTGGAACATAGCATCGTCATCACTGGTAGGAGCACTCGTACTCTTTAGAAACCGAACATAAGAAACGGTTGCGCTCTCTAAGCATTGCACTTGGTTTAAGAGTCAGTATCCTGTGCTGAAGCAGCTCTTGACGTCTGCATGACCCATTGGCACCTCAAACGAGTTCAGGCTGGCCGTCTGGGGTCCAAGCTGCGGCTGTTTCTTACTTTCACTCCCTGCGCTTCTCAGCAGTAAAGCTGTTCGCTGTTGCCGTGTGGGCGCTTTGCCAGTTGCAAAAGCCGTTGGAGAGGGATCTCTTGACACGGACCAGGCCGGCGCGCAGCTTGCGTCAGGATCTTAGTTTGTCGTAGTTCATTGTAGCTCGCAACAAGGACCAGACAGGGAATTCTCTGAGAGTCACCCTTTTTGAGTGATGGGAAACATTCCATAATAACAAGTTAGCCACAGGCTACAAGTTACAGCCATCCATCAGTGGGAAACCAGACAAAACATGTTTGACACCAGGGTTTCCAACAGCGCTGCCTTGCGCGCCTGAGCCGTGTCCTGGGGGCAACAGGGCCCTGCGCCATCTTGGAGAGGCTACCGGATGCTATCGGTGCTTTTGTTGCTGCAGGGATTTTGAAAACTGTGCTGTGTGTGTGTGTCTGTTTTTTTAAGCAGCTGATCCAAAGCCTGCTGGCTACATGGATAGGTGTTTGGATTGTCGCTGGCTCGTAGCCTCCGCCAATTCAGAGGGACCGCTCAGGAGCATGTCGTTGGGTCAGCCTGGGTTGCAAGCATCCAAACAGAGCGACACAGCAATGGAAAATAGATGAAAATAGGGAGGTGTCGCAAATAACCACAATGGCCACCCCAAGAACGGTTTGGATCATGAATTCACTATTGGATCCTGGATACTGGATACTGCATGATATGGCTATGCAACCAAACCCTGGCACCCTTGTTCATACCAAACAAGTTTATACTTGCGGATGATCGTTCCTCATACCTTTGGTCCCACGTATGTTGAACCAGCACTGGCCATGGACATATCCCAAAATTTTGGAAAAGGGCCTCATGTTTTGGTGGTAGTTATAGTTATGTAAATTGAGGTTCTGACCGAAGCGCATCATCTCTGGCCCATCAATGTCATGCCCTGTACGTCCACCCTCAGAGCCCTTAGCCATACCATACCTTGGCAGCGGGTGCTGGCCCACTACTCGGGTAATGGTGGACATGGGGACATGGCTGGAAAACCACCATGAGATGTAAGAAAATCATGGTTCGACTACTCCAAGGAGGCTCGCACAAAACGGTGTCCCCGGAGGTGTCCCCAGCCATTTTTCCTGTAAATTTCCACACTCCACACGCTCGAGCAAGACGGTGTCCCCGGAGGTGTCCTCGGCAAATTTTCCTGTAAAATTCCACACAAAATGGCTCTGATGACATGACCATCTGCATTTCCACTCCGCAAGCTCGCACAAAACCAGACATCTCATACAGAAATCTTGCCAAGAAGGAGCTTGTCAAGAGATCTTGCCAAGAAACTTCTTACAGAGATCTTGCCAACAGAGCTCTTATAGAGATTTTGTACAAGATCTTGCCAGGAGACCTCTCGTAGAGATCTTGTACAGAGACCTGGTGAAGAGAGCAGAGGTCTTCCTTGCAGATCATTTGCAGATAGCTTGAACAGAGATCTTACCTTGAGATCCCTTACAAAAATCTTCTGTGGAGATCTCCTATAGAGAGATCTCTTCAAGAGTCTTGCCAAGAGGGTCTTGCCAGGACACGTCTTTTGGAGACCTTGTACCGGGACATTGCATGAAGATCTGTTGCAGAGATCTTGCCAAGAGGTCTTTTACATAAATCTTGCCAAGAGAGATTTTTTAGAGAGCTTGTACAGAGATCCCATAAAGAGATCTAGCCATGAGATCTCTTATAGAGATCTTGTCCAGCAGGTCTTGCCAACGGACCTCTTAGAGATATCTTGTCCAGAGCTCTTGCCAAGAAACCTCTTACAGAGATCTTGCCAACAGAGCTCTTATAGAGATTTTGTACAAGATCTTGCCAGGAGACCTCTCATAGAGATCTTGTACAGAGACCTGGTGAAGAGAGCAGAGGTCTTCCTCTCAGATCATTTGCAGATAGCTTGAACAGAGATCTTACTTTGAGATCCCTTACAAAAATCTTCTGTGGAGATCTCCTATAGACACATTGTACAGATAGCCTTACACAGGGATCTTGCACAGCAGCTTTTACAGAGAACCTCTCAAGGAGATCTTGCGCGCGATCTTCTACAGAGATCTTCACAAATGGAACTTGCAGAATCTGACCTGCTATCTCTTCTTTGCACTACTAGGGTCGCTCTGGTCCTGCTAGCTTGCAGCCACTGATGATTTTAGGTTCTTTCTACCTTTCCCTTTAGAATCCCAACTACACACTGTTTGGGGTCTCTTGCCGGGATAACTAACATAATATGTAGATGTGGGAAATCACTATTTTTAATAGGTAATTTATCCATTCAGCCATGGTTTCCACATCTATGTTAGTTTGCCCTAGTGTAAATGATCTAAAAACCACCCATTTTGCGGTGAAAACCCAAGGATTTCCAAAAACCACTGGGGCTCGGGGCTTCTCAAAGAGCTGCTGCATCCGCGCCTGGTGTTCCGCGGACGGCGCCTCGGCAATTTGGAAACTACAAAAAAATGATGCTGTCATCAAGGCCTATTTGGTGGTTTCCATAAATGGGGGTACCCCAATAGCTGGATGGTTCATAAGGAAAAATCCCATTGTTTAATGGATGATTTGGGGGTACCCTCATTTCAGGAAACCTTTATTTTGGGACCAGGATTGCATGATCATCCAAGTGGTGTAAGATTTTTTGGACAGACACCTGCAACGATGCTCAAAGTTCAAACCAGGATGGGATGCACAAAAAGACAAGATGGAGAACTAGCCTGTCCTTTTCCATTGTCCAGAGTGCAGCCAGGCATTTCAAGATGCATCTCAAAAGTCAGCACCATTCTGAGTCTCTGCATCCTGTCTTGGAACCCCACATTGCGGCGGAAATCCTGCTCTCCCTTGCTAGGTGAGGGACTCCGCCTTAGAAGTTGTCTGGTGGTTGGGCCCATCACAGTGGGGAACCATCATTCCAAATATATATTGGGGAAGTCAGGAACCACAAAGATCCACAAAGCAGTTGTGTATCACAGTGGGCTCTGTTCCACGAAACTCTGGTGCAAAAGCCACTTTCACTTTGGAAATTGCTTTTGGTTTTTGGATGTTTTTGGTCAGCAATGAGAATATTTTTCGACATCAAATGTCAAGGCTGCTCTTAGCTCGAACTTCCATCTTGCCAGCACCGTGATAGGTCGTGCAACAGAAAAGCAGAAAAAGGATGAAAACGGCATCAACTATCATAAAGTCACATGGGTCCGGCACCGCCAGCCATCTGTAGGTCCTAATTTGCTGGACCCCATTGGTGGTCCTCATCTCCCAGAATTGGTTCAAGGAAAATTCTCCAGCGATTACCCCTAATACTTGGGCTTAAAAATGAGTTTCCTTCAACCCATCTTTGGAACCAAAATCCGTTCCCACCATGTTCCCACCAGGTTCCCACCAGGTCTTCCCAGGCGAACCTTCGTACCTGTTTCATGGGCACAAAGGTCTCTTCCTCCATGAGACGGTGCGATGCTGCACCTTGCGATGCATCACCCATAGGCCCATGGGATGAAAATCATGGCGTTTTTCCCATAAAAAGTGGTAGAACTTGGCGTGTGCGCGCCATTTTTGGAGAAACCGTGAGAAACCGATAACATGGCAGAATCTGAGGAGGATTCAGCTTGGTATTGCAGGAAACCTAAGGATTTACCAGGAAATCAAAGATAGGTTCGTATAGGTTCGTTATGTAGCAATGCCTCCATATGCCTCCTGTGATGGTTGGATCATTGCATCCTTGTTGGGAGCCTATGATTGGCCAATATTGCCATCATTGGTTGATGACCATCCCCAGCAAGGGCCAATTTATTGGGTACCCGAAACGCCGAAAAGTGGTTAAGACCTATGTCAAAAGGCTAGTCCCGTCTCTCAAAACTGGGGGTCCGCAGATGGGCCGGTCATCATCTACCCATCCAAGAGTTTGTGGGTCGGTCAGATTGATCCTTGAAGCCTTCAGGAATTCTCTCTGGGATCAGCATTTACAAAACTTGGAGCTGGGAAGCCTCCACCGCACCTTGCTCACGAGGCAGAGCACAGGCCGCCTTGTAGCCCACGGGTTTCTTGGCATATTCCTGGCAGCAAAGGTGAAGGCCCCCCAGCTAGATCTGATTTGCTGCCAGCGGCAGAACGACGAGCAGCGTCCCCACACCCAGCTTCGCGCCTTGCCCGACGAGCAGACAGCTTTCTCTCTGTCTGCCTTGCCTTCGCAAACCCCGACCGTTGGCTGACAACATCCAAAGTTGATCGGCGAAATCCCAGAATGGGACATTTTTAAGGCAACCTGGGCAGTGTTTAGAACACTTGTTCTTCCCAGACTTCAGTCTGAGTTCTGCCTACGCAAAATCATTCGCATCTAGCTCTCCAGCCATCAAAACAAAGTGCATGACATCTCGATAGTATGATTAACCCTTTTCTACGAGCCAGAAATGTGTCTTGTGGGATCAAATGGTCCCTCTAGCAATCCAACCTGGCTAGCGGCTATGGGAAATCCACTCAAAAAAAAGAAACCAGTTTCAACTTTCTTCCCACTGCAACTGGGGATTTACCAGCCAGGTCAAGCTGGTGCGACGCTGCGAGGCCGACCAGTCTGAGGCTCCCAACGCATTTCTTCCACGAGTTCCTTGTCTGTCTTGCCCTTCTCTCTCGCCCAGTCAACGCCTTGGTGCTGGTCCAAGGCTCATGGTGAGGCAGACCAAAAGGATCAACAGATGACAAGATTTCAAGATTTGTTGGGGAAATCTGTGGAACTTGTATCGATAAGTATCATGTTCGAAGTGACAATTATATATATATATATATACATTTTTACAATATATATATATGTGTGTGTGTGTGTGTGATGTCACTGTATCAGCAAAAGGGCAGAAAATACTGCTCTGGGGCCACAATTTGGGGCATGCCACCCCCTGATCTACCTGCGGCTTCCCCCCATACTACTGGGAATTGCTTGGCCAAGTGACACTGTTTTATAAAAGATACTGCCAAAACACTGCAAGTCATCAACCCAATGGAAAGAAAGTTCAAGAAATCTGGGCCGCAAAGAGCCACAGCAAGCACCCACACCATCTCGCGAACGACTTCGTGAACGCCCTCGTGGCATTCTGCCAACCTCAGTTACAGCATGACAGGGCTACGTCACGACCAAAGACGACCAAACGGTTTCACCACTCTGACCTGGCTATGCGAAGCCACGGCTTCACGGGAAAATTACCTACAAATGGATATAAATATAAATTTAATGTATTGTCTATTAAAACATTCAAAGTAAATTCCTACTATTGTCACTGCATGACAATATACTAAATATACCGGTAGCTCCAATTTCAGTGTTTCGGATACCCCATCCAAATACTGAGTTTCTTTACACAACAAGAGACTCACTAAACAAAGAGCCGGGTGACTTAAAAAGTGTCCCGAATTTTGACTCCTTCGAAATGAAGCAAGGACTGAAGGATTCGATCTTGCCACTGGGTGCCCCACTGTGCTCTTATATCTCTGATCCGCCAAAATGATACGGCCTGGCCAGGATGATCCACGATGGTGCCAGGGAGATCCTGATACTACTTAATGGCCGCATCTTATAGGAATCGTAATGGACAGCTAACCCAGAACGAGGGCTAAGGGTTAGCCCATTTATGACTGGGATACCTTAATAGCGCATGCCCGCTGATTTGTTTGGCTTTCCAGAAATTGCAGCAAAATCTATTTGCAGCAATTATATTGTGTAGGACAAGAGAGCTCCTGATGTGATATGTTTTGTGGTGCTGTGGGTCAAAATAAGGTGTCCAGATATGACCAAACTACATGTCAAAATATTCTGACTATCTACCTACCTGCTACTGTAGTGTGGTATCTTCGTACTTGCTGTAATCCGTCGATACTGCCACAGCACCGCAGGTCACTTTTCACTGCTGAAACATCCAGGTGTTTGGTTTCAGGTGCGCTGCACAGCAAATAGTTGATGTACTGCACAGCTTCTCTGTACAATTGATATCATCTGAAGGAGGGACGATGCAGCTGATCAACCGGGGGCCGGGGTTGAGGAAATTGGCAGTGGCAGCACCCCAGGAAAGTCAACTCCACCACCTTGGCACTGATTTTTTGGCAGTGCTGGAGATCCTCTCCAACCCACAATGTCTCCATGCATCCATAACACTCTTCTGCTTGCTTGCAGTGGAGCGTGCTTGAATACATCTTGGACTCTTGAAAAACAACGCAAAGGCATGGCGTCCTCCTAAAGGGCTCGCAAGCAGCACAGCCCTGTCCCTTCCAAAAGCAACCTACTGGACCTCATGCTGGACCGAAAAAACAGTTTGAGTCAAAACCTCTGAGAATTGGCCCAGAATAAGACTATCATGGTACTTCCTGATAAGCCAAATGGAAGCAGAAGATTGTCGAATGACCAAGCGCTCTTATCCAATATTCAATACCCAAGATACCCCAAGTAACTGTTACGCATATCTGGACAGAAACGGCCGGAAACCCCAAGGATCCCCAAGGCTCAAAGGAAGACTCTTCTCACAGATGCTGTAGTATCAAGTATCAAGTGGGAATTGAAATGAAGGATCGAGCCAATGCCTGTGCATCCAAACTGGAGATGAAGCAGCAAAAAATACAAAGAACCACCGATTCACGGCGGTTTCGCATCGGCAAACATCTGCCAGGAGACAAGTAGGTGACCGTCCCGCGGTGGGACGGCTATGCCACACAGACACCCTGCCTTTGCAATGTTTGTTGTGAAGTGAAAAGAAGACATGCAGGTTGGACCGGATCGTGGTTCCTAAGAATTTCCGATGGATGTTGGGGGAGAAACCCGGCAACCCTGAGGGGAAGTTGATAGAATGTCAAGACCAACAGCACGCTGTCAAACGGGGGGTCCCTATCAGTTGTTGATGGAGAAAATTTGGTCTAAAGGCGTACTCCCTAGGGATGCGCGACATGTACGTGACAAGCATGGCCTGGGATCGGTTTCTGCTGCTTCTCAGACTCATGGGCTGTATCGCTGGAGATGTGAAAGTGGCAAAAACGGGTGGCATGGATGGCAAATCCTAAGGCCACCGGCCAGCAAGGTCAAAAAACAACCTGCTGGTGCGGAACATCGGTGGTAAGTACGATAGGGATTTCACCATGCCACAGTCCAAACTTTCTGGATTTGCTGCCCAACACAGAGATGACATGGCATGGTGAATCAGCAACAGTGACCCTGCGAACTCCCTGCGCAGGTATATGCTGAGCAGCCTTGCGGTTTATCAAAGGTTGATGCTGCTACTAAATTGATGTTTTTCAAAATTGTACAAGATGAATATCATATGAACATATAATATCCAGTACGAAAGTGTCTCAACACTTCAGCCTGTTCACGCATCAGGTGCACATCGACCGAATTGTGGTTCAAAAGATCCTTTTCAGCTGTAGCAGCCAGGGTGGGATATCGCAGAGCCATATCCGTTGGGTTGAGAGCTGTAGGGTCTTACGAACTGCTTCTTTGAGTGAAGCCAGCTACTGAAACTCCACCATCTGAGCACTTGGATGGTAGCGGAGCCTTGGAAAGGCTGTGTGAGAAGTGAAGTTGAACCTGAGGTGTGAAAGCCCCTGGGAAAGAAGTGAGTATAGTGGAAATTAGTAGAAGCAAAGATGGAGTGCCGCAGTGGTCAGGGGATGCAGTTTCATATCAAGAATGAAGAACACGCACTGCAGTGGGAACAGCCACTAGCGTATGGAAAAAAGATACCTATGTGGCCCGAGCGGAACGGCCAGGAATTGCCCATCTCATGAAGCATCTGAAACGAAGCTTGGGGAGACCACAAACTTGAGAGCAGGCGGAGGCGGACGAAAGGTAGTGTAGTGGGAGAGGAGTGGTGTCAAAATGCTGCGCCCCTAAGATGATACACCAAAAACTTGTTTGCGCAGTCTAAGATGATTTTATCCAGAGCATGACTGCATGATACGGTGTCTTGTGCAGCGTGAAATGATGCACGAAAAGGGGTTTATTTAAAACCCCTTTTTAAAACCCCTTGCAGCAATTGTTATTGAGGCTGAATTCCGAAGGGAACTTGACCCCCAGTAGCTCTGTTTGGTTGGTTAGAGGGAGACGGTTGAATAAATGTTGCCCCGAACAGTTGAGACCGGCATCGGAAAGGGAAGAACGGTTGGAATTTTTGGGGAACCCCGGAAGCCACCAAGAAACTTTCGATTTTTCAAGGGTTGCAAGTGCCTTGGGTGGTAATGCACTGGATGACATTAACAATGAAGTCCCGGATTTGGCAACTTGGCAAAGAGACTATGGGGTGACAACGGGAATTGCGCCCACTGTGAGACACCGTGGAAAACGTCCAGTTAACCCAAACCCAGGAAACCCCAGAATGGACCCCTTTTGTGAAAATACGAGGGAACCCAGTGTAGACGGGAAAGGGGTGAAGATGCCGGGATGGCTCACGAAGGGGTTGAAAAAGCATGGTGGACCCAAATCCCCGAAGAAATTTTTGGGGAAAGTAAAGGGGAACATTTTTGGAATGAACCCAAAGCTTCCGTTGAAATTTCCATGTCCATGCCTGAGACAAAAAGGGGAATGACCCGTGCTGTTGATGATTTGGGGGGGCTATTTTGTGAACCAACTGAAAAGAAGGGCTGTTGAGGTCAGCAGTGAGACTCCCAAAGAGTTGGAACAGTTTCGAGAGGCCAAACACAAAGAGGTCACTAACTACCTAGCTGCTCAAGCTTTTGACGCTGTGCCACCAGAACTTCGACCCACCAAGGATCAAGCTGTGGTGGGATGAGATGGATCCTTATCTGGAAACAAACGGATGAAGGAGGCCATAAGGCCAAGGCTAGGGCTATCCTTAAGGGGTATCAAGATCCACAGTATGAATGCAGGGCTACCACGACACCAGTAATGACCCGCCAAACAAGACAGCTGCTACTTCAGGTAGCTGCATAGAAACGGTGGGGGCTGAAAAAGGGAGATGTGTCGGGGCTTTCCTTCAAGGAGGGAGTACCTGAATGAGTTGTACTGTGTTCCTTGCCCTGAAATCTTGGAAGCTATGGGACTGGGACCCGAAGAAGTGGTGAAAGTCAAGAGGGGATGCTATGGGTAAGTTGATGCCCCTGGAATGGTATCTTACTGCGTCTGAATACCTTAAAGAAGAGGGTTTGGTAAAATCTTGGTCTGACCCCTGCTGCTGGCTGTGGAAACCAAAAGGGATCTTAAGGGGAATCATTGCGGGACATGTCGGTGACTTTTTGTATTGTGGGAACCCCAAAGACCCCGAATGGTTGGCCCCGGAAAAACGGATTCAAACCCGGTTCAAATGGGATGAATGGGATTCACTCAGTGTGGGGTTCGGATCGAGAAACAGGTTGACGGTTCATACCGTTTATCCCAACAACAATACCTGGATAAGGTAAGTGAGATATGTCTCAATGCCGGCCGACGGAAACAGACTAAGGAATAAACCACCGAACGTGAAAAGACACAACTAAGGGGACTCTTGGGAGCGCTGAGCTGGTATGGCCAGCAGTGCGCACCACATTTGTCTGCATCAGTGGGACTGATGCTTTCGGAGGTGACCGAGAGTACCGTAGAAACCATTGTAAGGGCAAACAAGTTGCTGTATGAGCCAAAGCAAAGAAAAGACCACAAGTTGATCATTCATGCTTTTGATCCACAAGAAAGACTGGGTATGTACTGTTGGGCAGATGCTGCAGGACAGAACAGGAGAGACGGTAGCAGTACCCAAGGCATTTTCATCGGTGTGGTCCCCGAAAGGTTGTTTGAGAGACATATTGAAAAGGTTCCTCCGATTGGCTGGCATTCTAGGAAAATTGACCGTGCGTTACGTAGCCCAGGGGCTGCTGAAGCTAGATCTGTCATTTCCGGGGAAGACTATATGTTCCATGCTCGATATCAGTTTCGAGAGTTCTTTGATCCCAATCCGAATGTTTTTGATGCTGATGGTACTGTGAATAGGATTCCTCGCTGTTTGGTTTCCGATTCCCGATATGTTGATGATAAACTTCAAACTGAGGAACTGTCTATCAAAGGGCAAGAAAGGCGGGTGGACTTGGAGTTATATACTGTCCCTGAAATCAGCTCAAAGGAATAACAACGTAAGGGTAAGATGGATTCACTCTGAGGCACAACTGGGCAACGCCCTGACGAAACAGGGGGCTAAGGAATTGGAATTGTTTTATCAGATGAGAGGTTCCTGGAGGATCGTCAACGATCCAAAAATGTTATCAGCGAGAAAGAGAAGGAGTGATGGACTTGAGACCTTGGAAAATCATGCACAAACCACACAGGCCGTGCACAAAACGCACAGTTCTCAAGATGTGTGGGTGTGTGTGTGTGTCCCACCAAAAGAAACCCCAAGAGGAAACTGAGGAGGAGCCCGGGGGATGAAAGTGTTTCAACACTTCAGTCTGATGTTCGCGCATCAGGTGTGCATCGACCAAGTTTGTGGTTCAAAAGATCCTTTTCAGCTGTAGCAGCCAGGGTGGGATATCGCAGAGCCATATCCGTTGGGTTGAGAGCTGTGTAGGGTCTTACGAGCTGCTTCTTTGAGTGAAGCCAGCTACTGAAACTCCACCATCTGAGTACTTGGACTGTGTATATATATATATATATATTTATATATATATACATATTTATATATATATATATCTCTCTCTATTTATTTATCTATTTATATTTATATATATAGTTAGTTAGTTATTTATTTATTTATGTATGTATTTATTTATTTATGTGCACATATGTACATGTATATATATACACCTATAGACCCATACAGCATATAGATACATATATATATACAGTATATATAGATACATACTGTGTGTGGAAGGAGAGAAAGAGAGAGAGAGAGAGATCGAGAGAGAAAGAGATAAAAAGAGAGAAGAGAGAGAGAGAGAGTGAGTGAGTGAGTGAGTGAGTGAGTGAGAGTTCAAATCCCAAATCAGCCAACGAGTCTTTAGCAGAATGAGTGCCAGTCAAGATGAACACACCGCATGGCAACAAATACATTGAAACCACAAGTCTTGGACAAGAACAAGATAGAGATAAGGCTAGATTGACTAGATGCAATAAGACATCCTGGCTAGAGACTGCGCACTCCGTAAAAAGTGTGCACTTGTCACTTGTCGCTGAACTGTGAAATATCACCTGAACAAACGTTACTTCTGAGTATAGGAGTGCGTTCATACTTTTCTCACTAAGCTTATATGAACTAATATCTATACAGAATCTATACCCTGACTTTGTTTGCTGAGTACATATCCCCGTGGCAAAAAATGAAGCCTATTCAACTACCCTTCACCAAGGTTTATCCAACTGAAATTCTGCTCAGCTTGCTGCATCGGTAAGGAACTACACTGGATGTCTCACAGGAGCGTTGGACTTTCAGTGGTTCATCTCCAATATATAGATACGGTATGTATGTGTGTATATATATGTAGTAGGGCATTGGTCAAAACCTGGTAATCTGGTTGCCAAAATGGCTTGCAAACGGAGTTCATCCGACAGAATGGTGCGGACCCAAATCTCAGTATCTGTGCCCATTTTGTTGTACTGTACTTTGGCACCAACTATGCACCAGCGTCAGCAAAGGTCGAAGGCTTACTCTTCTTCATGTTTGACTTGGAACGGTGGGTATGACTGGAGGGCAGCCAACCTTACAGGGTACCCGCGGGTAATCCAACATGACAATGGAAAATCATCATGTTCACTACGAGTAACTCACAAACAAATTGATGATCTTTCATTAACCGGCATGAACGGCTCCTGTAAGCAGTGGAGATGGAGGCGTTTCCACCATCTCTAATGAGCGCAAATATTAAATGCTGGCCACTGCCCTTTGCAGCTGACAGTGGCCGACAAATGAAGGCCTGAACCCTGGAATGGAGCACATCCCAACGATATCCAGAAAAATCACCTGTGAATAACTGGTTGGTGGTTTCACCCCTCCCAAAAAGGATAGGAGATCATCATCCCAGCTGGGATGGTATGGTGGTTTGGTGGTTCACTTGTAATGTTGGGCCTCCTAAATGCCTACAAAAGCACACGAGCAACGACTCGGGCCTCGGACGGCTATTGTGGAGGTTGCCAAGCTGGGCTGACAATGGTTAAAGCTGAATCCAGGAGGTCAATAATTCTGGACGTTCTCCACTCCAGGGGGAGGATCTTTAAAGGTCAGATCTCACAGGTCCATGCGCTCGTGGCACACACAGAAGCCTGCGCCCAAATGGGCAAGTGTGATGCTGTGCTTCAAACGTGTCAATTGATAAAACAAACGTGTCAAACGTGAGCAGAGTGAATACAGCACACATCCGACCGAGCCAAAGACTTGACGAGAGTTAAAACTGTTCTTTGTCAGTCGCATGCTGTACCACTGTTGCCCGAGATGCTCAAGATGTTGAAAAAGAGCTGCGATCTGAAGACAAACAGCTTGCAATTGCACTAAATCTGTCCTTGATGTTTCGTTGAATGGGAGTTCAGCCCACACAGCTTGGCTTGACATATGGGGTGTGCAATCCCAGGAACATCACTACTGTGTTTCGAAAGGAACAAGTAGACTTTAGCACAATGGATGCGGATGATCGACCCTACGGTTTGAATCGCATCAGGTTTGCATAGCACGTTAATTGTAAACCTTTGCATCCAAATGTTAGGGCTATTCTGAAACTGCTCTGTCTCACAATGAATACCTGCACTGGGTTCATCAAACCATTAGGCTTTTGGGAGATGTTTGATGCAAAGTTTATCCTCGATGTTTTGCAACTTGCTGAGTCTTCATGGTCAGCTAACATGCAGGGCTGAAGAGCCTTGACGCCGCCAAATCCCCTACACTTCCAGCGCGCCATCGCGGTCATCATCTGCACTTGACTATTGACTTCATTGGAACAACTGCAGTCAGGGTCTTACAATGGCTCAATGAGCTATATACCTGAGTTTAAATGGTCAAATTTTCTGCAAGCTCCACAATCGACTTTCGCGGGCATCACGGGCATCACGGGCATCACACCACGCTGATATAGTCTGATATACCGTAGTTGAATGTGAAGAGCCGAGCAAACCATCATCACACTTAGTCGGCTAGTCCGAAGTTGGGGATGTTTGGTGCAGTAGGTCGTCCACACAGGGATGCTTGCAGTGTCAACTGTTACTCTGGCAGGGGGTCCAGCATTCGTCAAGGGGCTAATGGATTCCCGGCTGTGCTACTGAAAGGAAGCTTGCAGACCTTAGCAGCAAAGGCCGTCTGACGATAAGGCAAGGGTGATATCCAAAAAGGTACTAACATAGACCCAAAGTGGTGAGATTCGGGCGTCCCAAATTTGGGAACATAACCCTCTGTGTGAGTCCAAAAAGGGGTAACCCTATATAGTAACTCCCAAATTATGGCCATTTCACTCGGAGAAAATGATGGAAAATGATTGGACAAGCCCACATCCCTGACACTGTGATGTGGATTGTGGGGATAATATGCCTCTCAACAATATAATACAATATATGTGTTTGTCCATAAAATTGCGGATGCCCAAGAGATTGCCATTTCAAGCGGAAACTGACGTTGAACATGATGAAGCATCAATTGATTCGGAGGAGCTTATGTTCAGACAAAGCCAGATTCTAGATCATGCTAGTGCATTTAAGATTATTTCTGGTGGTTCAACCGATGATGACTATGAACATCCGGCACTTCCACTGACCAGCCCTCGTGGTATGTGGAATCCTTCAGCAATATTCCCAACATTTCGCGACAGTTTCTTGCGAACAAAGGGAAAAAAATGGATTCCCAACAAAGCAAATGTCAAGTTGCCACACGTGTGAAGTCGACAGATTCAATCCTGGCAGTTTATCAAAGGCAATTGGGAAATCATGTGCATGTGTGTGTGTGCCATGGTCAAATCATATTGGATCAATAGCTTCTGGTCATCCCTCCTATCATGGGAATCCTTATAGTGGGTATCCCTGTCAATCCATTGCCAAGAGGATAAACCATGCCTTGACCATGGCAGCTGTAATCACTGTGCGTGCCTTTCTGCCTGGCTTTCCCAACTTCTACAGCATGAGGGAATACAGGCCAGAAGTACCAGTTCGTGAGATGTCATCAGCAGGACATCCATAGTGTTGCCATTGAAACTGGTCACTACCTTGGTGTAACTGGAAGGGCGAGGACTCCTTCGACTTGGACTTGGGCAATGCTGGGTGATCGTAAAACCTTGTAACAATCGTTGGCTAAAATGTGAAACTCAAATCGTGAAACCTCTTTGCGTTTTAACTCTTCAAAATAACACATCAAGGAAATTGAATTTCTCTCTTCAGCAACTACCGCCCATTCAGTCCACACATCGGAACTCAAATACATGTACAAAACTGAGGTATCCTTTGAAGAAGTATCCAAAGCTCGAGTCCATGTTTTCCCACTCATTTCTAGTTCAAGCAGCTCATTTGGAGGTTTCCTAAGTCATGGGGGTACCCTTATATGGACACCCCCAGTTGATCCAAGAAACCTTCTCCATTGTCACGCGACAGAACTTGAGCTCCCCTGTTTTGCATCGCAGCGCAGCTTCGATGCTCTGCTTTCCACCTGCGGCGTTGTCGAAACTGCTGGGGCCATGCCTGGTGAGGTTTGTCATTGGGGAATACCACTGATAATTCCTTTCCTCAGATATCTAGTGTACATACATATACATATATATATATATGTATATATATATATGTATATATATATATGTATATATATATGTATATATATATGTATATATATATATGTATATATATATATGTATATATATATGTATATATATATATGTTGTGATTTCAATATATATTCCCTTTCCATACTGAACTCTCCAGTTGGGGTAGCTGTCGATGTCATGTTCCTGCATGCCAGCCAGCAAAGGGGTCAACAAATACCTCGTGGCCATCTTCTAGGCCCGAGCGAGGGGTTTGTGCACCCGGTGAGCTCAGTGGAAAACATTCTGAGCCAGCTGCACTGTAGCTTGGGAGAGTCGGTGCTGTTGCCATAGGAGTGGCCAATATCATTGAGGTTCAGGGGACCATCCTTTACAATTTCCTTTTATTACTGTTGCCTGATTCAATCTTGGTTGATCCGAACATCAACATCATTTCCTTGGAAGTTCCCTACCAATTGTGGACATTCCACAATATGTATATATATATATATGTATATATATATATATGTAATGTAGCAAGATTCAAGAAATAACAAGCAAACATCAATACCAGCTAGATCTGTGGCAAGACAAGCCCCGAGTCTGCACCAATCTCAGGAAAGGCCGCCATTGGGTTATCCCATTGATAAATATGGCACCATCCCATGGACTGCTGGGATGAACATCCGAGCACTTCGACAGAGAATGCATCCAGAGCAGAAAAACAAGGGAACACCGCCTTGAGGCGGGTGTGGGTTTTCTACAATTGTGTACTTGGTGATTGAATCAAAAATCACCTTTTTACACTGTAATTTACAGTATTTTGTGCTTGTGATCTATGATGTTTTGACGTTTGCTGCAAGATGTCAAAATGCCAAAAAAAAACTTTTGCAATTCCGCAACATCTGCTTGAGGTTCAATGCATTCTTTTTTTCCTCAGTGCTCTTTCAGTCGAAAGGAACGTTATCATCCCCCCCCCACCCCCCCACCCCCCCACCCCCCCTCCCGGTCAAGGTAGCAAGACGTCAGCAACAAAGTTGGGCAACGTGTCTTCGGTAGCGTCATCTTACAGTCGAAAGGAACGTTATCATCCCCCCCTCCCGGTCAAGGTAGCAAGATGTCAGCAACAAAGTTGGGCAACGTGTCTTCCGTAGCGTCGTCTTACAGTCGGCAAGAGCGTTAAACACGTATACTGCCAAAGAGCACAAACGTGGAAAAAAACACGCCCGCCTCGGGGCGTTGACCCCAAAAACAACAGCTTAAAAAATGCCAGTTGCATCGAAATCTGGAAACAACAGATGTGGCCTCTCGATTCATATCTATCACCATGATCCCAAAGCCACAGCACCTTCCTCTATTGCTTTGTTGTATGCGCCTGGGAGTCCCAGACCCTCTGACAGATTAGGAAAACCCAGGCAAGAAAGGCGCAAGTCTCAAAATTCAAAGAAACTCCAAAAATTAGAGCTCCCCCAAAATGACTAGGATATGTTTCAAACCTGACACAAAACTTGACAAACTGCTGCGAGTTTCCCATTTCAAGTTAAAACAGAATCTCAGTGGTTCAACTACAAACATATTCAACTACATAGCTGACATAGCTTCCAACCAGGCGCCCAAACAATGATACTTTGAAGCTATGCAGGACCCATTGGAGATAGAAACTGTACCAGCGGAGATCATCTCAAATATCGTTGAAATCAAAGACTTTCACATCTACATAGTTAAGTACATGTACTTGTGTAAAAATGTGTATATATATATTATCATATCATATTATATACAATATATAATAAAAAATAATATAATATAATATAATATAATATATATTGTATTATTGTATATATATATATTGTATTATTGTATATATATATATATATATTGTATTATTGTATATATATACATATATTATTGTATAATATATTATTGTATATATATATATACTATGTTGTGTATATATATATTATTGTGTATGTATATATATATACAGTATGTATTATTGTGTATATATGTGTATATATACACTATCGTATATAGTATTGTATATATATTATATTGTGTATATATATATATTATATTGTATATATATTATATATATTATATTGTATATATTATATATATATATATATTATATTGTATATATTATTGTACATATATTATCTTGTATATATATATATATTGTAGTGTATATATACATATATATTATATTGTATATACATATTATATTGTATATATATATATTATATTATTTATATATATAGTATATTGTGTATATATATTATATTGTATATATACATATACATTATATTGTATATATACATATATATTATATTGTATATATACATATATATTATATTGTATATATACATATATATTATATTGTATGTATATATATATACGCATTATATTGTATTGTGTATATACATAATGTTGTAAATATATATATATGAGTATGAGTGTGCATATATATATATATTATATTGTATATATTGTTTGTATATTATTGTATATATATATATATTGTATCAAATATATATATATATTGTATATTGTATATATATTGTATATATCATATGTGATATGTACAATATGTGAAATATACATAATATACATAATATAATATAATGTAATATAACATCACATTATATAAGATGATAATATAATATCATATCATATCATATAATATAATATACTATAATGTAATATAATATAATATAATGTCTTGTCATATCAGATAATATCATATTATATCGGATAAAATCATATACTATAATATATTATAATATGATATGATATAATATAATATCATATAATAGCAAATAATATTATATAATATAACATAATATAATATAATAGCATATTATATAATAGCATATTATAATATAATATAAAATAACATAAGACAGTATAATAGAACCTGTATTTTTATATTATAGTATACTATGTATGTAATGATTATAGAAATTATATATATATATATATCATGATTTGTATATATTATTATATTATGTTATATTATATTATATTATATTACATTAGATTGTATTATATTATATCATATCATATAATCTTATATAGTTATACTATATGATATTATAGTATATTATATTACATTATATTAGATTACATTGTATTAAATACGTACATACATGTTTATATATTATATATGTTGTATGCTTTATATTATAGTACTAATATACTATATAACATATATGTACATTACACATAACGTATATATATATTGAAACCAAAAACCAGCAAAGCTGCGGGCCAAGTGACAATCCAACTGGTACTGCGTCCAAAGATCAGCAGAGAGAAGTCGGATCACTTGCTTACCTTGCAGCTCCTGGGGATTGCCATCGCAAGTCTGATGCCCAACCCACTACCAAAGGATACCAAGGGATTAGAAAGGACTAAGCATTGTACACATTGATGTTGGATCTGGGTTGTTCCGTGCCCAGTTCATCATGACTTCATTCTAGAAATTTTGACACTTGTCAGTTTCATGGATGTGTCCCCGACTAATTCTCCAATACCAAGCCCACCCTCTTCATGCGCGCTGGGACCATTTTTCTTGCGACATCTGTACCCAGGTGTTTTTCCACTCAGGAAGGCCCTCTAGGAGCGGGTGTTGTTGGTCACTCACAGCTTGGAAGCTGGAGGAAGAGAAAAACCTCCAGCCGTGGGCGGCTGTGGGGGATTCACCTAGTGGCAGGCGATGGGGCTCTATCATTCGGGATACGAACCACACTGTAATGAAGACAAAAAATAAGACTATGACTTACCCAAAATCTTGAGTCTTTGACTTCAATCACAAGCTGCCTCAAGTGTTGCTATTTTTTGAATGATCTGTTTGGATCATGTGACAACTAAAAGTCTAATCTGCACGTGTTCCATCTTTTTTCATGTTTGTCAGTCAGTTGTCAGTTTGCCAAATTGAGCCTCAAAATCCGTTGGTAGATTCTGTCCCCGAGAAGACATAATAACGTCGCATCAAGTGCGCATGCAAGATTGTGCCAATGCAAGAGAAGATACCATGACGTAGCATCCCGTCCGCGTGCAAGTGCAAGAGAAGATATCATAACGTAGCATCAAGTGTGTGTGTGTGCGCGCGCGCAAGCGCAAGAGAAGAAATCATCACGTAGCATCATGTGTGTGTGCGCAAGATTGCGCAAGTGCAGGAAAAGGCATCATAACGTAGCATCAAGCGCGTGTGCAAGCACAAGAGAAGAAATCATACCGTAGCATCATGTGTGTATGCAAATTTGTGCGAGTGCAAAAGAAGATATCATAGTTTAGCATCCCGTCTCTGTGCAAGTGCAAGGGAAGATATAATAACGTAGCATCAAGAGTGTGGGTGTGTGTGTGTGCAAGATTGTGCAAGCGCAAGAGAAGCAATCATAACGTAGCATCCCGTCTGTGTGCAAGTGCAAGAGAAGATATCATAAGGTAGCAGCAAGTGTGTGTGTGTGTGCGTGCGCAAGCGTGAGAGAAGATATGACAATGTAGCCTATCCTGTGTGTGCATGTAAACATCAACCTTATTGCCCCACCCGCCCATGTAGGATGATAATTAACAAAGATGACAACGCCGCCTCCGCGGGTGTGAGAATACGTATCACCAAAAACATCCCCTCACCGACAAAGCCGCGCACCTTCAGCAGGTTCGAACTTGGAGCCCAACTCTGAGAGCTTGGTGTGTGCTTTGCTGTACGCCTCAAAGAAGGCTTCCTTGGAGTCTGCGAAACGGTCGAAGTAGACCTGGCAAAATGAAAGCAGGCGAGGCCTACAAGGCTAGAGGTTAGCAGAATTGGCCAAAACCAGATAGAACTTGATACAGCTGAGAGAAACAAGATCCCTATGACTTCAGGGACAACTATCGCGAGTATCTTGCCAAACCTTGGGCAGCAGTGGAAACAAAGCAGCGCCTTAAATTTGGGGTCCTCGTGGAGGGCAGCATCTGTCGGAAGCCAAAGCAGATTGTCATCTTTGGATCTCTTCAGGAACTGAAAATAACCTTGCGCCACAGCTCTTGCGCAGTGAGGCCTATCAAACTATCAAATGCGCCCAGTTCAACAGCCCAGGAGACCAAAAATCACAACCCGAAGACCTGCTGTGAATTCAGTTTAAAAATAGTAACTGCAAAGAATTACAGAAGCTACGTGCAAACCTTCGGTTCCAATTGTGAAGCTCTCCAAAAGATTTCAAGTGGCAAACTCCACCCTCAACTTCTGGAGATCTGCAAAACAATACTTGCCTTTTGGGAATAGTTCAACATAGTTCAAATATGGGTCCAAAAATATTGGCGGCTCCAACTATTCCTTTCCCACTTCCATCGGCCCTGCCCAGCAGCTGTTGTCGAAGGTCAACCAGTTGGGGGTCCAGGCTTTGCCTCCGGCCATGCCAACTCCTGCCTTGCCATCATGTCGCACTGGGCAGCCCGACTTGGTATATGAGGATGCCTCAGGACAACGCAGAAAAGGTACCCAGGTGGAGGATGTTCATCCCCAGGAAAAAATTGTGTTTTAAGCCCATGGTTTTATCATGTTTTAACTGACATGCAGAAGAAGAGCCAAATTTTCAAGGAAAAGGACATGGTTTCTGCTTGACCCAAACTGTTGGGCCTTGGCATCTCCATATCCATTCTCAACCACGCCACTGCGTTCCTGGAATTGCCATGGGAATGTCTCCATCAGACCCCCTGAGCCCCAAATCAAGCAAGTATGAGTACCGTCCGCAGCAAAGCCCATCAAAACAAAGTCAGATAAATTCAAAATGAGGCGCATAAAAATGGGAGTGTTTCCCTCGAAATAAAACTGTTTGTGATCTCTATGGGCTGAATTTTTGACCTATACCCTGGTTGGGAAGTCAAATCCCGCAGCTCCTGAAAGGCCCGGCCCAGGGTGTGCGCACCGCTCAAGGCAACAATGCCCTCATCATCAAAGCCCATTCGATTGAAGATGTTCCTGGCTGGTTGGGACTTTCGGGTGCAGGACAGTTGGTATACCAGGGATGATTCCCTGAAAAACATATGGTTCTGACCACTTGCCCACTGCGATGTCGAAGTACCAGCCAATCTGTTTCTTAAGGGAAGTTGGACGTGCATGCCGGCATTGAATTTGTATGGAACATTGTGCCCACTCAACGTGACAGGTCAATGGAACCCGCAGATCATCTCTATGGATTGTGTTCCATGGTTTTGTCGCAAAAAAATACTTTAGCGTTTTATTGTTTACATTGTTACGCATGTTGTTGTGATCATGACTTTGGATCTGCCCATCCTTTTTCCCAAAGATGGTTCCTACGTTCGGTTGGTTGAAACTTCTATTTATTGCTAAAACCACATATTTTTGCACTTAAAGGGCCCATGGTTGATTGATGAACATCCATTTACAGTATGCTAAAAACTCACCAGATCCCTCCTATGTTTGGTTGGTTGAAACCCTCATTTTCTGATTTTTTTCAACCAAGTCAAAACCCCACCAAAAATCCAAACAAAATCTGCCTCGTTGTCTCTACTTCAAAACATCAAAAACAATCAAAAGAACATCAAAAACCCTTGAAAAATATTTGAAAAAACATTAGAAACCAATAGAAACCATACAAACCCCATGGAAACTCCTCCAAAATCACTGGTCCCCGGGCCCTTCCTCAGGTGCGTGGCCGGATCCTTCGCACCACAGCCAAACGGCGCCATGGCATCCGGCAGCCCGGCGTTGTCGGCGGTGCCCCGAGAGGTGCGGCCAGGGCAGGCGCTGCCATCCTGGAGCTACCATGTGGCAGTTAAAGGTTACAGGTGTGATTTTAGATGATTTAAAGTTTAAAGATGACTTAAAATAAACTGATCAGCAAAGAAAATGATCAAACTGGTGATTTAGCATGGTGTGAGGGAGAAGATGATGATTGAACCAATAGAAGATAGATAAAGGGGTTAGACAAAAATCATCTTTGCTACGTCAACAGAGGTGATTATGTTGAGGAAAGTTTGGGATATCAACAGAGATTATCAAAGTTGTTGAGAAATGAAAATAATTCTAGCTGCACTTATCCGAAAGTTCCACAGCCCCAAGCCCTTTCATCATATTCCATCCCACCATGGTACCCCATCCTTGACATCCACACGGCCATATCTCATTGGCAAGACTGGACCGCCAGTGGCTTGGATGGCACATGCGCTTGCCATCTGGATCAAGTCGGCCCAGCTGATGCCTCAAGACAGTGCCATGAGATGGTGACCAAAACAGGAAGCCCAGGAAGACGTTCCTGAAAAAATGTTTCAACAATGGGATCATTCAAATTCAAAGTTCCATGGGATGAAAGCAAGAATCCCTTTCCCGCCTGGATAGTTCTGTTTGAAAGGCTTCAGGAAGTTCACAGCTTTGGTCAAGCCCGCGTTGGCTCCGAAGCTGATCTCCGGCTCATGGATGATGGATCCATTGGCACCCCCTCGTTCTGGGAAGGATGGGATGCGCTGGTCGAAGTTGCCGCTATCATGCCAGGCCAGGCGGACCATGATGGGGGCACAGTTGTTCTCATCAATGAACTTCAGCAGGTCAGCTCGGCAGTTCACATATTGCTCCAGCGCCATGCTGTTGTTTGTACAAAGGAATCGCAAATGGTTTAGCGATCAAAATTGGAGATGACGAATCAAAGAATTGAACTTGAACCTAAACAGCTTTAGAAAAAAGACACTGCTGCAGGATTTGTGCCATCTTTCGGATGATAAACTGCTGGTTCCTGGGATTCCTGAGTGAATGGTGTGCTAGTCGCCTTTACAGTATCGCAATCTTTCCACGGCACGGTGGGTCCTGTTTAAACCAGCCCATGGACTCTGCAAATCCATGGGAAATCCTTGGCTGGGATGTGTCGCCCCTCAAGGCATTTGCATTGGGGGATGGTCATCCAGCCAGTATTCGATATTTCTGGGGCATGACGGGCATGACGGGCATGACCATCCCCTGATGTGGGCTTGTCATCCAAGCAGACACCAAAAGTTTTGAGCATATTTGAGCATGACATGGTGACCATCTTTAGGAATTATGATGGGTATATTAATTCCAATCTACTATAACCATCTATAACCCCCATTAACCACCCCCCCTTTTTACATCTGTTTATGGGAAAATCAACCATGTAACTCGACCATGGCACATCTGAAAATGTGCAGAGTTTGTTCCAGTGAGGACACACGCTGCGCTGTTGACTTCCTCGTCCTGGCAGCTGAGCAAATCCGTCAAAAACTGGCACATTTCATATCAGCGAAGGTGAATATGTCACATTTGTTGGATCCATGTATATTGTATATCTATGTATCTATGTTTGTATGAATGTAGGAAGAAAACATCTTCCACTGACTTGAATCAGTCCCACCTGGAACTCCTCTGGCAACTGTCCTGGCGGTCCACTTTAGCCGTTGAGTGGAGTGGTTCTGCCGTTATTTGAAGTCGCCCTGGCAACAGCCCAGCCCAGTCCTGGTGTCTCACAGGGGTCCCACTCAGATTCCATGTCTGATAGGTCACCAACACTCATGCTGTCGTCATGCGGCTCATCGGTCTCGCCGGTCCTAACCAGGCCAGCAAGATCAAGTTGATCAAAATCAACTTGCCCAATTCGCAGTGCGTCAATGTATTGGTTATCCGTGTGCGCGTGGCAAATCAGCAAGAGATAATCATATTTTGCTGGAAAAACGAACCACAGTTTCGGCAGCAGCGGCCTGAACCTTGGTAAGGAACAGTCGCTATCCTCATCTTTCTTGTCCATGAGACTGACGCAAAAGTCCTGAATTTGGATGGGATGAGTGAGATCCAAACCAGAGCAGAAGGGCCGCTAGGAAACTTGATAGATATAGACTTCGGACCTGACAGGGGCAAAACCAGTTGTATTTTGGTACATTTTGCCCAAAAGTTGAGTATACCGAAGAATTGCCCTTGTAAAATGAAAGTCATGACAAACCATGGGGGTTCGGGATATCGTGCCCAATTTTGAGATGTGACATATCCATCTATGTGGTGCTTCCAGAAAAACTACCAGCACCAACTGTTTGGGCTAAAAACCCAGCATCCATCTTTCCTGAGTTTGTGTAACCAAGACGTATGTCGACTACCAGTGAGAGTGACTTTATCCCCCTGCCAAGTCAAGCTTCGTGTGCACGACCAAAGATTGGAGGAAAGAAAGGTACGAACCCGGCCTTGCCAATAAGCCTTGGTATCAGCATATCGGAATCATGGTTCTTGCCACAACCAAGAGTGAAGCCAAATCACTGTATGTACCATAATCAAAACCATTTCCATGGGCGCATGTGGGATTCATCATGTATTTCATATTTGGTTGCAAAAGACCAAGGTGCGTATGTGTGTGTGTGTGTGTGTGACTGTGTGTGTGTGTGCCTATATATATATATATATGCCTTCGGACAATGGCTGTCGCCCCTTGCACAAATGGCAGCCAGGATTATGACAATTATGACGCATGTCCTTCTTTTCCAAGCCACTTGTGAAGAATCCTCATGTTGGCGTCAGTCTTCATCTCCCAGAGTTTGGCTATTCCTACTCTGATCACTACCTTGAGCCCCGCAGGTTCACAAGCAAAATCTTTGGCTTGCACCGAGTTGACCTAAAATCAGCCGCTTCAAAACTAGATCCGAGACAGTCACAGGAGCTTGGTCCCCTGATCATCTACCCTCTGATAATTTAACAGTTCACTATTAAAAATGGCCCATAGAAATAGTTGATTTAGTTGATTTAGTTTTGGTTGATTTACCTACTAAAGATGGTCATTTTCCATAGCTATGTTAGTCTACCAGCGGAAAGCCTGGTGGAAAATCCACCGACCTCAGCACATCGCGGCTTCGCGCGGCCTAAACTGATCACCTTCTCGGTGTCGTCCTCCATTTTGACCTGAAGCCATGCGAAAGAGAGGAAACGGCACAACGACTTGAAACTGAAACGATAATAAGAGTAATAATAGAAAAAATGTAATGATGATAAGAGCACTAGTAAATAGTAAACGGTATAATAGTAATAGTAATAGTAATTAGTAATATTTAGCAATTAGAAATTAGTAATTAGCAATTAGCAATTAGCAACTAGCAATTAGTAATAGTAATTAGTAATAGTAATTAGGAATAGCAATAGTAATGGTAATGGTAGTAGTAATAGTAATGGTAATGGTAGTAGTAATAGTAATAGTAATGGTAATGGTAGTAGTAATAATAATAGTAATAGTAATAGTAATACTGATTATGATATGATGATAATAAAGATTGTGACAACAATGAAACACTGACAACAACGGTTGGATGTTCTGTAAAAGCGCGCCTTTGACCAAATGTGTAACATAGTAGATGCATAGGATACTAGATCTATAGCGTAATACATGTAAAAGATACCACAGTAAATATATAGCAGCGTAGTACATGTATGACATACTAGATGTCCACCATAGCATCACATCAATGCGCAAGTACCAAGGAAGGTTCTTACCTACCCCACCCCACTTGTGCAAACCGCAACATCATATTAGGACAGTACGAAGCCCTGAATAACGACGGGTAAAATGCACATAAACGCGCCGTGCCAAGCAGAGTTGCCAGCGTGAAATTGTGCGTTTTCGTTTTCAAGGCGTCCGAGGCAACAACAATAATAGCAATAAGAAAAAGAAGAAAAAGAAGAAGAAACAAAATGGTAACTACAAGAGTGGAGTTTAATTGGGTGCTTATAACATACTCTGTTACATTCTATTGTATCATGTTACATAACTTATCTCATATTATAAAACATTATTGAATCATATTACAATGTATAATTTGAATCTAGCCTGGATGGTTTCAGCTCAAACACGTCAAGTCCAGGAAGTTCGCATCCCTCTGCCATTGCTTGGGATATTGTGAGTCGCATGATTCACCGTCCCATGAGGCTTCGACCAAGACCTTCAACCGCGAGGGCATATCCTGCCCGCTGGTGTTGCATAAAACAAAACGTATCCCACTTGATCCCACTTGTTGTGAAAGTCGCCAAATTTGCGACGCTAGCTGCAAGATCCATTTAATGGAATTTGGGTTTGTCTGAAACTGGTACATTTTCCCCAAATCTCAATGTGGAAAAACGGTGATTCACCATTCAGTTTTGGGGGTTCCGAAGAAGGTCTGAGGTAGCAACAGCCCTGACCTCAATGAGCTCCAAGGTGGTACCCGTCAGCCATTCGCCATCATGGCTGATCTCCACCTTCACTCCCTGTTCTCGGTACACCTGGACGGTGGGTCAAGGGTGCCACCACGAAAGAACCACATCTCCAGCTGAAGTCCATGTTGAGAGAAAAGTGTCACATGTTGAGAGAATCTGCATGTTTAGATAATATTGGCATCTCTTGTAACTTGGGTTTGTCTGAAAGTGGGTTAATTACCCAAATTTTTGTGTGTTTATTGCAATGTGTCCATATTAAGTTGACTATGTATGGGTATACCTTGGTATAGCCTGGTATACCGGTATACCCCATTTTGGGACAAACCCACTTCTCCGGCTGGGGGATCCAGCTTCCAAGAATGCCAAATTGCTCTTGGATCTTTTTCGGCTCTGCGGAATCGGAGCCTCAGACTTCTGGTGGGAGATGTTTGAATTTTGGTGGCAATTTGCACGGAAACAGTTTTGAGAGGGAAAAGAACATAGTGGCGTTTACACGTCAATGTAACAACCACGAAGACATAAGCTCCTTGCCCAGGGTTCCGCTGCCCTGTCCGAGCTCCAAACCAGCTTTGCTTCAAGCTGCCGCTTCGTGGACATGGGCAGTCGAGGCAGGACCGTGGAATAGTACCTGGAGACGACTTGCAGGCATCAATGAACAGAGTTTCAAAGGGATTTGTCCGGAAATGTGGTACCCCCCAAATCCCATGGGATAATCAGATTATCATAGATGATCATAGTTTTCCTACATGTTCCTCATTAAAAGGGGGGGTTAAAGGGCCAGGCCAAGAAAGGCGGTTGAAGAACCGAATTGGCCTGGCCTGGGAACATTCACAAGTCCTCAAGGCTCCACCACTGACCATTTCTCCAACGTCCGATTTTGGTGAGTGAAACAATCCTGCGGGTGACACTTAATGACAGGCCGTGTCCAAAATAGCTATTGGCCTGTGTTCATTTCAAGGCAAAAAAATGAATTCACTGCTTCCTAGGTATCCATCGAGCCAATGGCGGTAGTTGGCAGCAGCTGCTTAGCAGCTTGCTGCAAAAGCGGACAAGCACCTGATCCTTTGATGCTACCCCTTGCACCCCAAAGAGCCAATGCAAACACCAAGAGTGCACACCCTGGAGGGGACTGAGGGGCGTTGAATTCCATGGTAAATCCTCCAATGACGGGCCATTTGTATGAAGAGTTTCACAACAAAGGACTCAAATTCTCTAATTGTAGCAGTCGTCTTGGAACAGCCCTCCTTCTGCCAATTGGAGGCTTACAATTCAGTTCCAGGGATGGGAGATTACAGCACACAGAACAGCTATCGCAACTAAGGTCAACTCGACGTGCCAAGTACATGGTTGAAATCCCAACCCAGGGCCATGAAACACATCCTCTTCTGAATGGAGTAATTGGGCCGTCACCAGAAACAAAAGCTCACTGTCTGCTTTGATCCCAGCAACTCTTGAACATGTTTTCACAAAAAAACAACAGGTGACGTGAACAACTCAACTACACAAGGAAATCTGACCTTTCACGAGGCTCTTGAATTCATCGTCATCATTGGAGCGTCTGCACCTGCAGGCCGGAACATAGTTTGCAGTTGGTGTAGCTACCCCTTGATGTGGAAATTCTCTGGAAAATCAGTGCACAGGTTGTGCAAGGCCTGGGCATGATAAATGTAGAGCAGGAGGTACTTTATTTGATGCATCTGCTTCAAGTCGGTGGCAAGTGTTTTTCCCCCCAACAATCTAATCTGGCCCTGGGGCCAAATGTCCCTTGTTCCAGGGTGCCTGCCGGCGATCACGGCCAACCACCTTCTCTGGGTCTTCCCAAGTGCTATTGGACCATCCCCTGTTCCTCGCATCTCAAAGATGTTTGGCGTGTTTTGCCCAGAAATGTAGCAACTGCCCTACCTCTACAGTGTTCCCTTTCTTAACGCCGCTTCAAGCGGAAGCTCTGAAACCCAGAAGCCAGAACTATACATCAACATACATCAACCATTTTACACGGTTTTGTTTCACCGACCCGGACGTTCTGACTGGTTTCTCCCACAGTCCACCCTGCCAAGCATCGCATCTACCAGCAGTGGGAGAACATGGCCACAGACGTGTCGATGTTCCATGTCCGTAAACCTCGCAATGGCTCCACACAGCGCTGGTTGCGATTGAGTCAAGTTTGATGACCCTTGAACCCACAGGTGCTGATCATTTGGGGTGTGATGTTTTTGCAGTACACAAATTTCAATCATGCAATATGTGCCGTATGGTGAACACCTTTCCTAAATCCGCTTGCAACATGGATGCACGTTTGAAAGAATGAAACTCGCCCGGTTCCATGTGGAGTCAATACAGAAAATTCTGAAGTGCAACGTTCCTAGCTGCGCAAGCTGCTCCTTGCAGATTCACCGCGCCTCAACAACAAGGTACGCCCGTCGGAGAAGAACAGCTGAAGTTGCTGGTTCAATCGCTTCCGAATGCCATGCCTTGGTGGACACAATCGCCGGGGAACGCATGCTATCCAGGTGCTCCGAGGGTCAAGGGCTCAAGGGCTGCTTTGCTTCGGATTTTGCACGCTCAGTGTGATTCTTACCTCGTCGTCTGACCTTATCGCCTGATATAGCCTTAATGTATCTTAAATCTAAAATTGTCCAAATGTCATCTATGTCTCCAACATGCCATCCTTGATGAAAGCAGATTCACAGGCATCTGTCATCATCTGTCCACACCTGGCATCTTCAGCTCAATAAAATCTGGCCGAGGGACCCAATGACATTCACTTGTCGACCTGTCGGGTTCAACGGCTTCAACGGCTTCAACGGCTTCAACGGCTTCACGCGATGGGACATTGATGTTTGATCCCTTCTGCCAAGTCACACTTGGTCAGGTCAACCAAGATCATTTCGTCGTTCTGAACCTGGCACCCGGAGCAAGCAGCCAGCATGCAGCATGAGCAAAGAATGACGTGCCTATTGCTACCAGTTGGATTTCTACAAGATCAAGTCCATCACATCTACATATGCTTATTTATGGGGGTACCCGGTGTACCCGAATCAGTGACTGAGTATCTAACTGTGCGGTGCAAACCCGCTTGGAATTGGCAGGTCTATAATAATTATAATTATAATGCAATCCTATGTTAAGATGCTAAGAGCCATTTGATAGTAGCGTTCACGGATGGAACATTCTCAAAACCATCGATTGAAATGCCCAAGCAATTGTCCTGTGCAAATTGATGTTTCTGCAACTATATATTCCCCTGTCCTCAATCTGGATCATAGTCAGCTCGCCATTAATCTTCAATTTGGCTGCCACCTCCATAGCGGTCACTGCCAGAAACTCAGTAGACTGATTGGACACCAAACCAGAAGAACAATTCGAGCAGTGCCAGAACATGTTGTGGCCAGGAGGCCAACAAACTGTTTCATGCCTTGTGCATCAATCTCAATCAAAATCCAAGGGACATATTCTCAAGAAGTTGCAAATATCATGCTCGACCTATCGTAATTTCACACCTTTCATGTTGACTTCCCCCTCTCCCGGACCAGCCTCTGACTCTGGCTCTTGTTGCACAAGTGCAGGAATCCCCGACAATAAAGCCCTCCTGGTGAACAATTTTCACACTTGCAGCCAGCTTTGACCACCAAGATACCATGCCTGGACTTCAACATGAAAATCAGAACAATGAAACTCCAAAAAATTCGCTGATGGTGAATAAAGAACAGCCTTCCCCTTCTCCAGCCCTGCCTAAAGAAGCCATTGTACAGCTTCTGGCCGGTAGAGGCAGTCAAATCCGAAAATCCAAGCATCGGACGTTTGAGGCTGTTTCAGGAACTTGCTGTAGCGGTTTTTACGCAACATACGGTGATGCTATTACGGCGTTTCTTGGCCAAACACACACTTTGCGGAAACCTGCCTGATCTGCGTTTTCTGGCTCCAGCTTGTTGTACTCGTAAGCCTTGTTGCCAGAACATCACTCAAAGCAAACTGGTGGCCTTGAAAATGTGATGATGGTGCCATCAAGCCAAAGGAAGGGGTGAGGGATCAAAAAAAACTGAGAAGGGGGGAACGAAAGCCAGCAGCCCATCTATCCCTATGTTCCCCAATATTTTTCACCCAGAGACTCTTCACCCAGAAACCCTTCTTGCACATACTTTTCACCCACATACTTTTCACCCAGAGACTCTTCACCCAGAAACTCTTCTTGCACATACGTTTCACCCATCTACTTTTCACCCAGAGACTCTTCACCCAGAAACTCTTCTTGCACATACTTTTCACCCATAGACTCTTCACCCAGAAACTCTTATTGCACAGACTTTTCACCCAGAAACTCTTCTTGCACATACTTTTCACCCATATACTTTTCACCCAGAGACTTTTCACCCAGAAACTCTTCTTGCACATACTTTTCACCAATATACTTTTCACCCATAGACTCTTCACCAAGAATCTCTTCTTGCACATACTTTTCACCCATATACTTTTCACCCAGAGACTCTTCACCCAGAAACTCTTCTTGCACATACTTTTCACCCACATACTTTTCACCCAGAGACTCTTCACCCAGAAACTTTCTTGCACATACTTTTCACCCATATACTTTTCACCCAGAGACTCTTCACCCAAAAACTCTTCTTGCACATACTTTTCACCCATATACTTTTCACCCACAGACTCTTCACCCAGAAACTCTTCTTGCACATACTTTTCACCCATATACTTTTCACCCATAGACTCTTCACCCAGAAACTCTTATTGCACATACTTTTCACCCATATACTTTTCACCCATAGACTCTTCTTGCACATACTTTTCAACCACATACTTTTCACCCACAGACTCTTCACCCAGAAACTCTTCTTGCACATACTTTTCATCCATATACTTTTCACCCAGAAACTCTTCTTGCACATACTTTTCACCCATATACTTTTCACCCATAGACTCTTCTTGCACATACTTTTCAACCACATACTTTTCACCCACAGACTCTTCACCCAGAAACTCTTCTTGCACATACTTTTCACCAATAATTATACTTTTCACCCAGAGACTTTTCACCCAGAAACTCTTCTTGCACATACTTTTCACCCAGAGACTCTTCACCCAGAAACTCTTCTTGCACATACTTTTCACCCATATACTTTTCACCCAGAGACTCTTCACCCAGAAACTCTTCTTGCACATACTTTTCACCCAGAAACTCTTCACCACAAACTCTTCTTGCACATACTTTTCACCCAGAGACTTTTCACCCAGAAACTCTTCTTGCACATACTTTTCACCAATATACGTTTCACCCATAGACTCTTCACCAAGAAACTCTTCTTGCACATACTTTTCACCCATATACTTTTCACCCAGAGACTCTTCACCCAGAAACCATTCTTGCATATACTTTTCACCCATATACTTTTCACCCAGAGACTCTTCACCCAGAAACTCTTCTTGCACATACTTTTCACCATATACTTTTCACCCAGAGACTCTTCACCCAGAAACTCTTCTTGCACATACTTTTCACCCATATACTTTTCACCCAGAGACTCTTCACCCAGAAACTCTTCTTGCACAGACTTTTCACCCATATACTTTTCACCCAGGGACTCTTCACCCAGAAACCCTTCTTGCACATACTTTTCACCCAATGTCCTTCTCTCTCCAATCTCCTCTAACTAGCTGGCCCATCTATCTGTCCATTGACTGAGCCCAGAAAACCCCAGAAAACTGGACCTAGGGGGAATGGATGCCCACCGTCACTGTTTTGCCGCCTGGTACATTACCCTGCAAAACCATACTTTGCGCGGTCCTAAAACACCACCTATTTCCGCCATTTTTGACCCGTTTGGCAACTACCCCCGCAGACCCCCTATTCTCACTTCGTTCGCAAATAACAACTAGCCAGCTTCCCGGCTGGCTTTCCTAAAATATTCAAGGCATCAAAAAAAGAATCCCCTGGAATCCCTTGTTTTCTGTGGTTTTAGCCACAGTTTGGAGACAAAACCGAGCATTTCTGTGGTATTTGCATCGTTTTGGAAGTGGAGCCTCTCACCCGTAAGGTTTTTGCAGAACATTGGACCTAGAAATCGAGCATTCGCAGGGCTCGACGCTGCCGTTTTGACAGCACCTGCAACACTTTGGAGTTCGAAGTTTTGATTTTCAATGGTTGCTTTGAAACTTACGTTGGTTTAAAGTTTGTTTATGTTTGGTTTAGGGTTGATTTAGGCTTGGTTTGATGCCTATTACGTTGACTTAGGTTGGTTTAGGGTTAGTTTAGGGTTGGCCTATGCTGTACTAGGTGTCTATTCAGAGTTGGTAAAAGGTTTATTTAGGTTTCGCTCAAATATTTAAAGTTGTTTACAGCTTTTTTTGTGTTTATGTAGGGTTGGTTTAGGGTTTATTTTGATTTTGTTCAAGACTTTGTGGTTTAGGTTTCGTTTGGGATCTATTGAAGGTTAGTTGGTTGTTTATTTAGGGTTGGTTCAAGATTTGTTTAGGGTATAGTTAGGTTTGGTTTTAGGGTTTGTTTAGTGTTAGTATTGAGATTTGTGTAGGTTCTGCTCAAAGTTTATTTAGGGTTGATTCAGGATGTATTTGGGATTGGTTCGTGGTTGGCTTTGGTGTTATTTAGGGTTGGTTCAGGGTTTCTTTAGTGTTGGCTTAGGGGTTATTTTGGGTTGGTTTAAAGTCTACGTAGGTCTTGTTTCCGGTGTCTTTAAGGTTGGTTTAGTGATTTATTTCTGGTTGGTTCAGGGTTGGTTTGGGATTTGTGTAGGGTTGGTGTGTGGTTTATTTGGGTTTGCTTACGATTTATTTAGGGTTGGTTCGCTGTTTGTTTAATAAGTGTTCTTTAGGGTTTATTTACGGTTGTTTTATGGTTTTTTAGGGGTGGCTTAGGGTTTATATGGGGTTGGTTTAGGGATTGTTTGCGATTGGTTTAAAGTTGCTTTTGGTTTCGCTTACAACTTATTTAAGGTTCGTTTAAGTTTCATTTAGGGTTTATGTAAGATTTATTCACGGTTTATTTAGGGTTAGTTTAGGGCTGATTGAGGGTTGGTTTGGGATTCGTTTAAGACTTACTTTGGCTTGGGGGGTAGTTTAGGGGTTATTGAGGCTGATTTAGAGTTTTTTACGGCTGGCTGAATTAAGGATTATCTTCAAAATGTTTTAAGGCACCAGAGCCACCAAAGGACGGAAGGACCAAGGGACCAGAAGACCAGAGGACCAGGGACCGGAGGACCAAGGGAGCAGAGGACCAAAGGACCAAGGGACCAAGGGACCAAGGGACAAGGGGACCAAGGGACCAGGGGACCAAGGGAGAGGACTGAAGGACCGGGAGATTCAAAGACCACAAGATTTGAAAATGGCATAAAAGGGCCAAAACACTGCACCAGCGCAGGGAAAATGAATATGTTTTTTTGTTTTTTTGATCCCTAAAATATTTGCCTTAAATTTAAATATTCTTTTTTTGAACCCCATGCCAGGATGGTTTCCCACCCCGGAGGTGGCCAGCTAATGCCAAGTTGCTGGAGTGAGCTGAATATCATGATCAGCTTCCAGCTCCTAGGCTGCAACAACAACAACCACAGGCACCCTTGAGGCCAACCCCCTTGCACCTCATAGGCATCCCGCACCGCGCTGGCCATGTGACCACCCCAGGGAGGGCATTGCGTGCCCACCATGTTCCCCATCCTGACCGGTGAAATGCAAAAACCAGGAGGGGACGTCAAGCTGGGGACCACTGAATTCGGTCATGTTTCTGTGAGTATTACTATATTATTACCATCCAATTTTGGGGGCACCCAGTTTGATACATGCCATAACCACACTGAATGCTTTTCAAGTGCTGCTTGGTCCCCGGTTCCCGCCGGCCTTTCTCTTGAGTGGCTCCTCGACTTCTACTTTGAGCACCACTTGGTCAGACTGCTGCTGTCAGATGATTTTGCATGCTGCATGCTTCGCATGGGTTCGACTGACAAGGTGGAAACACCGTTAAGCAGCCACTACTATCCCTCCGTACCATGCCTTCAGTGACCCGTAGATGTCTTCCCACACAATGAGTTTCAGATCCGTAGAGGTGATCTATAAGATCAGAAAAACAGAACAACCAACCAAACCACACACCTGAACAAGGGCCCCCATTCCACCCCTGGTCACTTGTCTTGGCTCAGCAGGCCCTCGACAAACTCCCCAATGGTGGTGCGCCACTCCGAATCCTATGCTAGCTGTGCACTTTTGTGCCTTGACTCATTTGAAGGGGATGTGATTTGATGCTCCATGATATTTCACTAAGGAATCCCACTATATCCTATGGTCCTATGGTGATCCCATGATTATCCCGTTATATGTATATGTTTGCATGTATATAAACACATATGTGTACACATATACGTATACGTATACAGTACATATACCTAGACATACACATACATATACATAGACATACACATACACATATTCATATACGTACACATACACATACACATGTGCATGTACATATACAATATATACATAAATACATAAATACATACATACATAAATACATAAATACATAAATACATAAATACATATATATATATAATTATACGTATATCAGATCATATCAACTTGAGAGGGGGAACACGAAAGGTAGGTAAGCAAGAAAGGAACCGAAGAAAAAATGAAGGGGAGAGGGCAGGGAAAAAAACATAAAGTGGAGTCTGGTAAAAGCGACGCGGCCAGTTTCTTTCCAAAAATATGAAGGGGAGTCTGGTAAAAGCGACTGAAAGGTTTCAGCGATGTGGTTGGGGTTGGTGGCGGTTGTGGTGTTGTTGCTGCTGCTGCTGCTGATGGTGTTGTTGTTGTTGTTGTTGCTGTTGTTGTTGTTGCTGTTGTTGTTGCTGATGGTGTTGTTGTTGTTGTTGATGTTGATGTTGTTGTTATTGTTGTTGTTGTTGTGTGTTGTGTGTTGTGTGTTGTTGTGTGTTGTTGTTGTGTTGTTGTGTTGTTGTGTTGTTGTGTGTTGCGTGTGTTGTTGTGTGTTGTTGTGTGTTGTGGTGTGTTGTTGTGTGTTGTTGTGTGTGTGTGTGTTGTTGTGTGTTGTTGTGTGTGTTGTTGTGTGTTGTGTGTTATTGTGTGTTGTTGTGTGTTGTTGTGTGTTGTTGTGTGTTGTTGTGTGTGTTGTTTGTTGTTGTGTGTTGTTGTGTTTTGTTGTGTGTTGTTGTGTGTGTTGTCGTTATTGTTGTCATTCGTTGTTGTTGTAGTTGTTGTGGTTGTTGTGGGTGTTGTGGTTGTTGTGGTTGTTGTTGTGTGTTGTTGTGTGTTGTTGGTGTGTTGTTGTGTTGTTGTTGTTATGTGTTGTTGTGTGTTGTGTGTGTGTGTGTTGTGTGTGTGTTTGTGTGTGTGTTGTGTGTGTGTGTATTGTGTGTGTTGTGTGTGTTGTGTGTGTTGTGTGTGTGTGTTGTGTGTGTGTGTGTTGTGTGTGTTGCGTGTGTTGCGTGTGTTGTGTGTGTTGTGTGTGTGTGTTGTGTGTGTTGTATGTGTGTTGTGTGTGTGTGTGTGTTGTGTGTGTTGTGTGTTGTGTGTTGTGTGTTGTGTGTTGTGTGTTGTGTGTGTGTGTGTTGTGTGTGTGTTGTGTGTGTGTGTGTTGTGTGTGTTTTGTGTGTTTTGTGTGTTGTTTGATGTGCGTTGTGCGTTGTGCGTTGTGCGTTGTGCGTTGTGCTTTGTGCGTTGTGCGTTGTGCGTTGTGTGTTGGTGTTGTTGTTGTTGTTGTCGTCGTTGTTGTTGTTGCTGTTGCTGTTGGTGTTGTTCTTGTTGGTGTTGGTGTTACCCCTGCAGCGTTTTTGCTCGGTTCCGTAGTGGCCGAAAATCGTCAAATCGGTGGTGTTTTCGCGTGTTTTTGCATCGCTCGGAGCAAAAAACACCGTAAATACCGATGTTTTTGGCGGGTCGGAAGCCCAAAACCACGGTATTTACGATGTTTTTTGCCTCTGGTAGTAAAAAGCACGGTATTTACAGTGTTTTTTGGCCAGCACCTAGCAAAAACACTGGTATTTACGGAGGTTTCACCATGTAGCAAAATGTGGTTTCTTGATCCGAAAAGAACAAAAATACTGTAAATTACAATGTTTTGAGTCTGCTCTTAGGGTGCGTGGGAGGTGTGGAGGGGGGGTGTGAGGTAGCTATCCCTCTATTAGGGGAGCCCTGGATTATGTACAAACACCTGAGTCAAGCGTGATCTTTTCTACGCAAGATTCTGCTAGTCTTGAGCCATGCGGAGTGCGCATGAAAGATATGAATTAGGTGTACATGTCAACATGCATGAAAGCATTGTGTAGACACGTAAAACAAAATAAATCACAAACAGACACAAATTTTCTTCGTGTCGGAACATGCAAGTCTGTTTCACAGGTAGCGCTCAGCCTGTGATCTGCTGTGAGACGGTCCGAAGACAAAAACAAAACTGTACAAAAAGCTACTCTCCGCTGTTGGAAAGCGGTGGTCTTGGCTGTTGGCAAGCGACCGCAAATGCGGAACATTGCAATTTTTTTGGGGCTACAAGCCCATAGTGAAATAGTAACCGTAGAAACTCAACTCGTTTTGCCTACGGTGTTCACCTGTCTGATGAAAGAAAATAGACTGATCCGGTGTTTGCGGGATCATGTCAAGCCACGATCCGTCGTATTTCTGGACCCAACGCTGTCTGGGTACTTGGTACCCTGGGACGTATTCTACTTGAGTGGTATTGGGATTCACTCTATAGTACGACGGCTGATCATAGCTGTAACCGTAATTACGGTGTCCGGAAGAGCTGGAAGCTGTTCCTTGGTCAAGCCATTGCGAACCCGACATTCGGGATGGAGGCGCAGGAGGCTCAGGTACGTTGATTGGCCTTTTTCTGGTTGTTTGCCTCTGCTCAGCCTGCTGTGATCTCTCTCTCTCTCTCCACGGCGGTGGAGTCTTCGGTGGTCCTGGTGGATCAGGAGGCGTTCTTGGCTGCTGTGAACCTAGTGTTCGTCCGGGAACCGGAACTGGAGGAGCCTTTACAGGCGGCCTAGCACTAGAGGAAGATCCTGATGACGTCGGAGCTGGTGATTCTTTTAAGGATCTCGGTGCAGCTTTATATTGCACTGGTTGCACTGGTCTGGCCTTTGCTGCTGGACCTCGCACAGGTGCCGGAGGCGGTGCTGGTGTTTCAGCTCTGGGTCGATATGTTCTGGTCCTGCTGACCGATCGACTTCGAGTGCGTCCAACATTTCGGTGTGAGTCAGTCCGCAGCGGCGGAACACTATCTCTCCTTTCTTCTCGTTTTTCGAGATATCCTTGAGTTCGCTGCATCCATTTTTCACGTCTTTTATCTTCAGATTCCTTGGATCGGATGCGCATATTTTTCAATGCCTTCAATTGGGCGTAGGCTAGGAGAGGTGAGTGCCATGCACAGTCCTTTTCTGCCAAACCAAGATCATAGGCCATCAAATGTTTTAGCTGTTCAACATCGTTCAGCATAACTTCGTCGGAGAAGGCAGATCCTGCGAATCCATCTGCAGAGGCTGATTCTTCCTTTGCACGTGCTTCCGTGACAGCGATCTGCTTACCGTAACAAAGAGAAATTAAAAGCATTGAATCACAATCAGCATCATCTCCACGCATGCTTCGGATGTAATTGGCTGCAGTGGTCGAAGAAACTACGTTATACGTAATACGGTTTATCGGGCTGCGGTGAAGATTAATCTGCTGAAGGAAACGCTCCAAAATGTCGATTAAAATGCATGTCCGGTAGTCGGAATGATCGTCTGCCTTAAAGCTTCGCTGTGCGAAAAGATTCCCGTCACCGGACAAAAAGTCACACTGATGTTCGATACAGCTTGCGACAAATTGGAGCCATTTCTGGCACGTTTCTTTATAGGCACTACTCCATGCATATGAGGAGATATGGAAAACCGCTATACGGCATTCAGCTAACATGAGACGTCGGACGTCATGAGTGTCAGCTCCAAGATTCACTTCACAAGCTTCCACGCCGGAGACGGCAAGGTCATCGTCTCCGTCGATCTCGCAGATCGAGTGATCAAGAAAATCGAGTGAGGATGCAAGTGGGCGATCATGCTGGTAAACCGTAGATTCGGCATTTTTCTCGATGTCCGGTTTCGGAACACGAGCGCCAGAAGAAGGATCAACAAATTCTCCTGACGTGTTCATGCCATGGCAAAGGCGAAAAATGGCGCCATGCAAAATCCAGAAAGGTGAATCTTTGGTGGATGTTTCAATTTGGTGCTGACACAAAAGTTCAATAAATGAGCCTGCATCATGTGAGCCACGGAGAAAAATTGCAAGGGATTGTGACTGGATGTGCGGGTGCACTACCATGCCAATCATCCCATACTCTTCGGCAAGCTCTCGATGGACGGCAATTCCTCCGTACTCGTCGGAAGCCTCGCACAAGCACACAATATGGGCCGCATTACGGAACACTAAATGTGGCAATGCACGGTGGTTGATATCAGTTCGTACCCATTTTGGAAATTTGGCACAACCTCCGATATACGGAAGACGGTTGATGTGACCAAGGTTCAACGTCAAAATACCAAGCTGATACGTGTCCTTCTGAAACTCATGGATGTTGTCCTTAGTGCGCTTGGTAACACCAAGGATTGCTCTCTTACCAAGAAGGCACGATCTGAAGAGCTCCAATAAACGGAGAATCTCCTCTGACTTAAGGTCACCGCCATCAGGGTACTTGAAGAAAGCCTCAGGTCGCCAGATCGGAAGAGGCGTCTGGTCCTGGGCATCAACAAAGTGCTCCTGGAGAGTCGGAATTCGACATCCAAATGGCATTTCATAAATGAATTCTGTATAATCAAAATCTTCAATTCCATGACGAGCAAAAGATTGAAGGTAAGTGTTTCCAATTGAGCGGCCCTCACACAGA